ATGAGATATCCATTTTTTCTCCTTAAAACTTGATTACCCACGTTGTGGTTTCTCCATGTATAGAACGTCATGTGACACTTTCAGATATTGTTAGAATAAAATTAAACGAGGATGTGCAACAACAGTATTGATCAGATGAAGATTTAAAGGGTATATCATTCAAAATCGACCCTGCAGTCTTAAAAATGTTCAAAGCAGTCTGATTCTATGTGGCATTGATTGACAAAGTGTGCCTCAAAAACAAGCTTAATTTATCAATCACGTGTCAATAATTTAGTGTTACCTGCTTTGAATCTATATATAAATTTGGCTTGTCTGTCTGTTTGTTTGTGTGTCTGTTTGTTTGTATCCAATAAACGTCAAAACGGCTGAACCGATCGGGCCCAAATTTTTTGTGGGACATCACGTGACCACAGGGAAGGTTTATGAATGATCTAAATTTCAAATATTTGTCTCCATCAAAATTCTATCTTCATTAAATTTTTGAAAATTTTGAAAATCCACGAAGTTTTTTGTGAAAATCCGCGAATTATTTTTGTTTTGTTTTACGATGTACACAAAGAGAACATGTTCACAATTAATTTAGAAGATGGGCGCGAAGCGCCCTATAAGGCTAGTATTATACATTCAGATAATTTATGGTTATATTAAACAATTTCAAATCTGAACGAAAATCTTTATTTCACTGATAATTTTGGATGCACAAAAGTACGAAATGGCAGACGACATTCTGAAAAAAGGTTCATGAACAAATAAAAGGATCATAACAAAAAAAGAACATTTATATACTAGTAATAAAGACGAAATTCAGAGTGACTTTGCAGGTTTAAACTTTGGTATTTAGAATCCTTTATCTTGAATACTTGATCTCGATATCCAATGTGGGCCCTTTCAAAATTTAAGGATTTCTTCATTTTTGTTATCTAAAATTTCAAAATGTTAGATCCTTCATATGTTTACAGTATTTGTGTGTGTCTTTAAAAAAATCTAAAACCCTTAAAAATTTTCGAAAAAACTAATTAATTTCTTGCTCATCACTATGTCTATATTCAGAGAATCTCATATCATATCGGATTATCACCAAGCTTTTAAGCTAGAATACGCACATAATACTCAAAAATACTAGTGTTTTCTGCCATGCAGTTTTTTAGTTATCCTTATATTACTTTTTAAAATGATTTGATCTTTTTATGTCTTGTAATTTGTCCCAAAAGTCGGAATGAAGAGCTATAAAGGATCGAATGTGATGTGGTACACCCTGTATGTAAGTAAGTATATGTGATGTGGTACACCCTGTATGTAAGTAAGTATATGCAATACATGAAACTCTGATTTCTGCAAGAGGTTGCGTGATGCTACTAAGAGAATCGAGGAATGTACCAGAGAACAGAAAAACTTGCTTAATTTCTTATACAAAATAATGTAAGAACATTGCAATAGGAATTCTACAGGACGGAACTTATAAATCGATTCAAATCATTTAGGATATTCTTTTACATCCATTTCTACAGCGAGGCCCATAAAACTGTGGAAAAGGAAGACGACTGTTATTGGTAAACTCAAGCCATGATTTTGAATAGACCTATAGACATGCATAAACCACAGCACTTGTACACTCTACACAGTGCCCATTTCATTGTCTGTCTGTCTGTTTTTCTATCCGTTTAAATCAAATAAAAGTCAAAACGGCTAAACCGATTAGGCCCAAATTTTGTGTGGGACCTGACCTCACATGACCCCAGGATAGGTTTATGAAATTATGAATGATCAAAATTTCAAATTAGCTTCCAAAAATTTGATTTTCATTAAATTTTGAGAATTTGCGAACTATTCTGGATGTTTTACAATGTATACGAAGAAAAAGTGTTTAATCTAAATAGCTGAAAGTCCATAGTATATATATACTTAAGTTGTCTATTTGAATCCAAAAAAAAATCAAAACGGCTGAATCGATCGAGCCCAATTTTACGTGAGACTTCACATGATCCTAAGGAAGGTTTATGGATGATCATTAAATTTTAAAAATCCGCGAATTTTTTTTCAAATACGCGAACTTTTTTTGTTATGGTTTTACAAAGTGTACAAAGAGAAAATGTACACATTTGAAAAAGACCCGCGCCCTGAAAGCCTAGTTTGAAATCAAACAGCATAAAAGAAGAAAGGAGAAAATTATGAAATATTTCTTAAAATAGGGTTAGGAAACATTTAAATGCAAATATTTAATATTTGCTAATTCTGTTTTAAGAAATATGTCTATCTTCTAGAATAATGCTTTTAAAACTGAAATTTGTTTTTACGAAACCTTAATGATGATGGATGATCTAAATATGTAAAAAATAAACTATAATTTTTTCTTTCTCCAAAACTACAAAATGTGAAAACAAACACCTCGTTATGATAATATACCTTCCCGTTTATACAACGTCATGTTTATAAAGCTGGATGGAATAAACCTGCAACAAATTTTTCATCATGCATAATAAACAATAATGAACAATAATCCCGGTTTTTTACTAAAATTATCTTTGAACTTTAAGAATTCTTTTAGTGTTATGTCTTAGTGTCTTTATATTAAAAACAGACGACTGAAACTATTGTTTAACCTTTGCTGTCTCTGAGTAATTAAAATTTCGTATTTTGCAGATTAGTGCTGTGAATTTTAATTAATCGATTTTTTTCACAATAACACCCAGAAAACTCTGGAATAGAAAGACGAATTTACAGTAATACTTAATGATGTTGTTACAAAGCAAAAAGTTTTACTAGACACTCATTAAATCACTCATTTAGTGAAATGGTCTGTTTAAACTTCACAATTGCTGTGTCTCATGCTCATTGGACTAATTAAAGTCATAAGTGGTCTAAATGTCGTCTTTCTTTTCACAGTTTTCTGGTTATACCTGTATTAAAACACTAAAAAGTTGATTTTCTATAGGATGCTTATATTACATATCTATATACAGGGTGTCATTTTGATCTTGCCGATTTTTAAATTGCTATAACTTTGTTATTGATCGGAATTTTTCCAATCTGTAAAAAAAATTGAGTAATCAAAATATGAACGTTTTTTGTATGCAATGAAAATTCACAATTCTAAAACCAAAAATGCGCAAATTCAGTTAAAGTTATCTTTGCTTCCTTAGAAAACACCATATTGGAATATGGCTCAAATAAACTGAATTTGCTAACATATAGTTGCAATCTCTGTTTGTCTTTTTGTTTTTCCGATCATAACTTAGAAACCCCTTTACCGATTTGCCTCAAACTTAGATTAGGGACCTCAAGAGAACCGCGGGAATGTTCTTAGTTTGGTTTTGAGAGTCAAAGTTGAGTGGGTCGATTTTTATAGCGAAAAGTTAGTTTCCCGGTAAAAAAAGCGTTAAAGTGCGGGTAAACGGCGGGATTAACTATGAGTACCCTGTACAACGCTGGGTTTCCAAGCTAGTATTTTATGTATATACAGGATGATTCAATAAACATAAAAATTGAGTAACGATTTTGATATCGTCAAATTATCCATGATTTTTGATAGCTCCTGAGTTAAGTTTAGAATTTGCATGTTTATGTTGTGATTGCATAGGATTGTACTTAGTAAGACAAGCTAATTTTGTTTACACTCAAAGTAAACTTGTCAGTCTTAACTGTTCATCTTGAATTGAGATCAATTGTCAGTTATATATATATATATATAGAGCGAAATATCCACAAAGAATGAGACTCTAATGAGGACCTGAATCGATTGAGATCGGAGAAAGGGTAGAGATCAATTGTCAGTTATATTTATATATAGAGTAATATCCACAAATGATGGGGACCTGAAATAAGAATTATTGTAACCTCTTCAGAGTAATATCCACAAATGATGGGGACCTGAAATAAGAATTATTGTAACCTCTTCAGAGTAATATCCACAAATGATGGGGACCTGAAATAAGAATTATTGTAGCCTCTTCAGTCCTCATACGGACCCAGAGCTAAGATGTAACCAGTATGAGCTCAATAGCTCGGTATAGGGATAGTTCCATAGATGTAACCCCTTCTGTTCTCATACGAACCCGGAGCTAAACTCAGAGTGGATAGTTCTAATGATGTAACCAATTCAGTTCTCATACGGACCCGGAGCTAAGTACTCCGGCCTATAAACAAGACAACGCATTAGCGTTTTTTTATATAGCTATGGGTCAGACAGACAGTGGGACAGATGACAAGTCTCCTCATCTATATCATGTAGGGATATTTATCCATTAAGAAATGCACTCCTCGTGGAAAAGCAAGCCACCGTTGAATTCTTCCAATAGGGGATAGACACGGGCTTGAAAACAAGGCATGACCTGCGCTAAAACCGAAACGAGATCAGTTGTGACCTAGGGGAAGAAGAGTTACCCAAATCAAGGCGAATGAAAGGCGGAGAATCCACCACGATAGCTCCTGCTTTCTACGAGTCAATGATTCATTAGTATCATTTTATTTGTTTACCTTTTACTTTTAAATACATTTTTTCCTATGCGTCAGTTTTAGGCTTTATTATTTACTTTATATCATACTACTTTTTAATGGTAATATTATGATAAGTTTATAGTTGAAGGCAAAAAATACGCTTTATAAATTTCATATTGTCTCACAACACTTTAAATATCAAAATAAGTTTCCGATACAATAAATGTTAGATACTTCGTTTGGAAGCATATATTACTTTGCTAGTGTCGTTAAACGATCGTTTTTTATTTCGTTTTTCAATCGTTTTCAAAAACTATCGTTACCGAAGAGTCGTCGTTAACGATCGTTAATAAAACAAAAAAAACGATCGTTTTAAAAACGACCATTTTTAAAAACGAACTTTAAAAAACGATCGTTTCATTTTCGATTTTTCGTAGTCGTTTTCATAACGAAACGATTTTTTTCAAAAAATTGAAAACGTTAACATCTCTACCTGAAGCACGGGAAAAAATTAAATAAAAAATTAATCTATATTATAGTAAATATGAATTGAACAAACACATTAAAATAGGACATACAATATTTTACGGTTATAAAAGATTTATAAATCGTACTTGCTTTAAGAAAAACTGTATTTCATATATACATCAAAAACTATTTTTTTAAATTAAAATAGTAAAAATTAGCTTAGAAATTATGGTGGATTATTGCTATACAGTTTAATGTATTGTTTTGTGCTGTACTGCAGTTTTATCATAACAATTATCAAGCAGTACTAACTACTAATATAGTATACTAATTCTCTACAGTATAGAACTCAACTAGTCAGGGACGTATACAGGGGGGTTAGGGGGCCTGAATCTCCCCCTGAGTTGATATAAAAATATAGCTTCAGTTAAAAAGATTAACCCCCCCCTGGAAAATCTTGTATACGCCCGACTTGTTTATGAACACTATTGTACGAATGTACACTAAAGTACTGCACTAGAAGCTTCTCTACAGTGCCGCATTGTATATTCCCAAATGTGCACCACAAGCGGGACAACTGTGCGTCACCTAAATAAAATATATAGAGGTCAAATTTAATGAATACCCAGAAGCACAGTGAGAACCAAAAAACTATGGAATAGGAAGACGACTTTTAAACTCAACGTTTGACTTTGAATAGTCCAATGAACATGAAATAAACCAATTGTGCAGTGTAAACAGACCCATTTCACTCAATAAGAGATATAAATTTAATAATTTATCGGTGAAACTATTTTAAGTTTAACAACATCAAAAACTCTTAAATATTGTTATAATGTCGTCTTCCGTTTCACACGTTTTCTGGTTCTCACCGCTACTGCTCTAGTGTAGAAAAAGTGCATTGCATTTGGTTCAACTATCCATACCTAGTTAAACTACTTCTTCATATTTATTAAATTCAACCGTTGATAACACTTCGCTTATACATAACTTTCAATATTAATTTTTGTTTTACTAAAAGTGAAATAGAAGCGGGCCGGGGCGAGGAGAGGTGGACATTTCATTTTTTCAATATAAATTTTTTTAATGGTTGAAATCAGTATTTAAAAGTGATATGTTAGGGCACTTAAAAAAATAGTATCTTAAAAAATATCAGAAAGATTTTGATTGTAATTTGAAACTTATAATTATATTATCTCTAAAAACATTTAGAGGGAACTAGTTTTGAAATAGTTCCATGCAAATTACAAAATTCTTGGCGAAATTTTATAATCAAAAGCAAAACAGACGACGAGAATTCCATTGTTTTCTGGTTCTCATCGTAAATACCACCCTCTCCGTCCTTGGATCAAGAAGAAGTTAAACCATCTAGACAACTGTTGAACCACTTCTAATAAACTTAAACCGGCGTAAAAGAGAAATGGTTAAACTAAGTATATCAGATCAACGACTTTTCGTAATTCATAAAATCTGGTCCCGAAGTACTTTAAAATGATCATTAAAAAGTCATCATAGGCTTTGAATTCAATGAAACTGATTAAATCATTAAAAATTAAACTTTTAACCTCTTTATAAAAAATATCATAAATAAAATAAAAAATACCGTTTGTAAATTTTCAATGCAGCAGGGTATACACGCACACGGCCAACATCTAGAATTATAGAAAATATTTTATTCTAAACTTTTTTATTTCCGTGATTAAAGGGACTGTATACGTATTTTTAAACCCTCTATTTATAAAGAGAATATAGTTGAAAGAATTTCATTATGACAATCAACTCCATTATTTCTATAGCAATTCCCTTGTATAGAGAGACCACAACGTGAAAATGAGAAACTTGTATACCTGACTCATACTTGATATTAATCGAAATTGAAATCAAAAGTCGTCTTCACTGTATTGATATATGCGACGACGACTGTAGTATATATTTACCCAAATAAAAAGAGAAGAACACCAAGAACCCAGGCTATAGCTGATGGTTCTTTATCTGTTACAGTTCTAACAGTTAGGAGACAGCATGGACATGACACATCTACAGGTCTAGATAGATAGATAGATAGATAGATAGATAGATAGATAGAAAGATAGATAGATAGATAGATAGATAGATAGATAGATAGATAGATAGATAGATAGATAGATAGATAGATTAAAAAAGATAGATAGGTAAACTTATGTATTATGTTTCTTTTCAAGGATATAATTAACTATGAAGAGAGGGATATGGTTTGCTCACAAATTAATCAAATGTGACGTATACGGGCAGCTCTAGAACTGGTTTTAATGCAAACAAACAACTTTAAGAAATAGCTCAGGCCCGGCATTCCCGCTCTAATGATTGTTAAAAGTTTTAATACTAATTACAACTAAGCATAGTTCGTTTAATGTAAAAATACGTCACAATCAATGTTAACAACATTATCCCTCTCTCATGTTCTACTCTTATTAAATATTTATAAGCATCTTCTTATCATATTAAAGAGACTGTAAGCGTGATTTCAAGTGATTCTCCAATTACCGATTCACATCGGTACCCTTGAAACTTTTGTCTTATAAATAATATGGAAAATAGTATTGTTTTTAGATTTAAAAGGGTTTATTTCAGATAAATACGATGTGCTCTTCTGCAGTGACATACATACGTAATTAACTTTTGTAGGAAACCACAATTGGAAGTAATCAGTTTTCAAAAATATAAATATGGGTATATTATTCATGCTTGAGCATAAAAAGCTTTAAGGGTACCGTTGTGAATCGGGTATCGCCAATTTTGCATGAAGGGTCACTTAAAATCACGTTTACAGCCTCTAAAGCTTTTAATTATTGTTATTTCTATTTGTTCGTGTCTAGCAGAATTCCTTTAAAAAAGGAAGTACAAATAAAATAAAAAATTTTTTTGTTCATGATAAATTAGATTACTGCCGACAATAAAAATAATAAAATTAATTTAATAAGAAATACCTTGGCCCGAGAATATCAGTGACATAGACGACCTATAATAAAGAGATTGTTCGCCCAATTTTAAAATATTGTTTTAAGGAAGTGTTCGCGAAAAGAGAAAGAAAGCATAAATAACTGTCATCAATTTTTTCTGATGTTTCAGTAAAAATATCAGACCTAATTTTGTGTTCGATCTACAGGATATGTTTATAATTATTCTCTTTTTTGGATTAGGACATGTCAGTAAATATAGTTAATCGGTTAAATATAAACCATTAGTAATAATTAAAAAAAGATTTTTTTAAAAATATTTCTGTGATTAAATAAAATTAAAAATTAAAATTTACAAAAAGTAAACAATTGACAGGTGTACTTTAGAATATTTTAAATTATTTTTATAAAAAAAAAAATTTTCCTGTATATCTCTTATCTACTGATCTTTACAAACACATTCATATTAAGACTTGTAAGAAAGGGCAACTTGAAGGTCAATATGATAACTAAAAATGCACACCAGAGTATACTTTTGCGAAAAGTTAAATTTTTAATTTAATTTTTTTTGCCGATAACGTTCAATATGAAAACTAAGAATCTAACCTGCGACCCGGACTCCCCGGACTCATGTAACTGATGACGTCGACGATCCTGAGACGGTGACAATCTTCCTGTTGGAGGCGGCATATTTCCAGCTTTTGGAGGCGGTATATTTCCGTTCTTGTGAGGCGATATATTTCCGTTCTTGTGAGGCGATATATTTCCGGTTTTGGAAGATGAATTATCATCGGCTGATTGAGTTTCCGACAGCGGAGTCACGGGGCTTTCCTCCACAGGCGGGGACTGGTTTTCCTCCCCAGGCGGGGACTGGTTTTCCGGCTTCAGGTATGGATAAATACTTGCCGGTGGTGGATACTGATTTATCGGCGGAGCCACAACTCCTTTAGGAGAAATAATTGCCTCATCGTAACTTGGCGGAGAAAAGAACAACTTGGTGTTCACGTCTTTGTCCTTAAAGTTTTTTGCTTAATCATTCATTATTGAGAAATAAATCAAATAGAAAATTTACAATTAACATTATGTAATTATAATATATATGTAATTCTGTTTTTGGATTGAATTATGAATTGATTATATTCAACAAACATTATTTAATTTTTTATTTTTTATTATCTTTTTATTGAAAAACTTCAGAATTGTAAAAGTTTGAAATTATAAAAAAATGAAAACCTGGTTTATTTTCCGAGTCTTTAAACCAGTGTCAGATGAAGACAGCATTTGAGTAGAATTGGATGGAGTGGGATTGGATGGAGTGGGATTGGATGGAGTGGGATTGGATACAGTAGATTGTGATGGAGTTGAATTGGATGTAATAGGATTTGATACAGTAGATAGCGTTGGAGTTGAAATGGATGGAGTAGGATTGGATGGAGCTGAATTGGATGGAGTAGGATTGGATACAGTAGATAGCGATGGATTTGAATTGGATGGGGTAGGATTTGAATGAGTTGGATTGGATGGAGTAGGATTTGATTGAGTTGAATTGGATGGAGTAGGAATGGATGGAGTAAGTATCGAAACATTATATAACGATTGAGTAGGATTGGATGGAGCGGGTGAAATATTACGTTCAAACATTGTTTCTGAAATTTATTTAACATCATAATTCATTAATGGGATTAAAATGAAAATAATTGTATCATCGTAAACTTTTTATAACTTTTAGAACATCTATTTAACTATATAGATTACATCTTAAAAGTTCTATGTATATTCTTTTTTTTTGCAGATAATACAGAAAATAGAAAATTGATATTACAAGCATTTAAGAAGCTTTTTTATTTATTTTTTTAATCGAGAATTAACGATTCTTTTCTTCGTTTTTTCAAAGTTTTAAGTTAAATATTGTAAAAATAAAATTATATTGTTTTTCACAAAAACAGATAAAATAGATTCTAAAGAAAAATTCAAAATTAGATGAATTCGTTAAAACTGCAAATCTGCGGTGGGTTTTTTGAAACTTTTAGATCAAAATGGATAAAATTTACAAATTTTATTAAAGCTAAAATTATACCTTTATATGTATCTTTCTCAGTGAAAGGATAATGTCCTACTATTTTAAGATCAGTGTAAATTTAGGGAACCAGACATGAAACCAGACGTCAGGGTAAATAGGGAAGATAAATAAATCTTGTATGAAAGTCTATCCATAGAAAAATAAACAAACGCTGTATTGAATTTAAAATTCGTTAAAGAGAATTATATATTTTTATTATATATCAGAGCAGTTTCAATCCTTCGTTCTTCGAGGTAGCCTTCGACAAAATATTGTCCAACTGTTTTATTTCAAAATAACTATCTGACTGATCATATTTTTAATGATAAAAACTAACTTAAAACCCAGCACTGCTAGCACTACTCAAATATTAGGTCTTTTAGATTTCTCAAATTGTTCAAAAAATCTGATCTTTTTATGTTTTTCCTTGACCAAATATTGGTTAATTCACATTGAGAACTAAATCTAATGTGTACATCCAAGAAAATTAAATGCGAGAGCAAAATTTGGCTTGTTTTGTGACTCAAAGAAGTTCGTATAGATAGATAGATAGATAGATAGATAGATAGATATCACCGGAGGGATTTTAGTTTCACTGGAGGGGTTTGAAAAAATGCTTTTTACAATTTAAAACTTTACGCTGGGTGATTTACATTCCACTGGAGGGATTCAGATATCTTTCCAGGGGGGTTATAATTCCACTGGAGGGATTCAGATATCTTTCCTGGGGGGTTATAATTCCACTGGAGGGATTCAGTTGTCCTTCCCAGGGGTTTATAATTCCACTGGAAGGATTCAAATATCCTTCCTGGGGGGTTATCATTCCACTGGAGGGATTCAGTTATCCTTCCTAGGGGTTTATAATTCCACTGGAAGGATTCAAATATCCTTCCTGGGGGTTTATAATTCCACTGGAGGGATTCAAATATCCTTCCTGGGGGGTTATCATTCCACTGGAGGGATTCAGTTATCCTTCCTAGGGGTTTATAATTCCACTGGAAGGATTCAAATATCCTTCCTGGGGGTTTATAATTCCACTGGAGGGATTCAGATACCCTTCTTAGGGGGTTGTAATTCCAATGGAGGGATTCAGATATCTTTCCAGGGGGTTATAATTCCATAGGAGGGATTCAGTTATCCTCCCTGGGGGATTAAAATTCCACTGTAGGGATTCAGATATCTTTCCAGGGGGGTTAAAAGTCCACTGGAGGGATTCAGATATCCTTCCTGGGGGTTTAAAATATTCCTCCAGTGGAACTATAAACCCCTTTAAAGGGATATTTGAATCCCTCTAATTCTTGAAACTATTTGCTTTTAACAAGATCAAATACACACAAGGATGCTAAAATGTTGTATTTCTATATTCATAGTTGGTGTTTTTATCAATAATCGTTTTTTAAAGGGCAAGTAAACATTTTTAAAGAATTGAAAATTCCTGCAGCATACGAACATTTCTTCTTTTTTTGAAAGTACATAGGAAATAGTAGTCAACGCCACTTTTTTTTTTAACTTCACTGGAAGATATTTTTCTACGAAAAGCTATTTATCTGATCTAATTTTAAACAGAACATTTAGATTAGAAACAGGGAGTAAGGAATTGGAGGGGATATAACTGACGCGGTTCGCCCACCATGTGATTATACATGCTTTGCAGACGGGTACTTCATTTGAATAAGAAATATTTGTCTGATGTACAGTTACCGCGTATACAATAACCTTATCCGAATATTACTTATACAAATGGAGTACCAATCTGCAAAGCATGTATAATCATATGGTAGGGCGAACCGCGTCAGTTATATCTCCCTTCTATTCCTTACTCCCTGATTAGAAAGCTTAACAGCCTATATTGCAATGAAGCATGCATCTACAGAGTGGTATGTCAGATTCATACGGTACTCTTTTAAACTAAATGAGAGGACTAATGGGCCCGGGAAACACCAGAGAGAAGCTGATTTTGGAAGGCTCGGAGGTCACTTTTTCGTGACACATGGCGGCCCTGTACCTTTCTCTAACTGCCTGGTATTTCTTCTACTAGAAAATACAAAGTTTACAAAATTCCATTTATTACAACGGTCCAAATATAATTAATTTACAGTTACAAGCTTTAAAATAAGCATGATGAACAACAACATGTAAAATGTGTACTAAAATGTACATCTTAATTCAAAAAGCTTGCCTTATTCGTTTTTTGACTTTCAGGAACAAAATCAAAATGTCCAAATTTATATAATCGATATATTTTTACATCATTTTTATAATCTAATTTTATTTGGACGTCTTTGGGAGTTAATTGTGCAAGAAAATATTCAAAGCGTAAAGAATTCAAGAAGGAAAGCTTTCAAAAGTTTAAAAATTAAACATAAAAATGTACAATATTGTCTGTAAATGGGGTGCGATCATAGTAACTATTTTCTGCTTGTGTAAATGTGTTTTTCAACATCGTGCTTTTAATTTGGAAATTTTAATCAAATGAATGCCTTTTAAGTCATCTCACAATGACTTATGGAAATTAAAGGATTCAATTTTTAAAGTTAAGATGTATATAATATATGGAGTGTTGATGAAATTTCAAAAGGGTAAAGTTTAAAAAAAATGCAAAATTGTTGATTAAAAGGAGAAACATTAAATTATTCGTAATACAAGTAAGAATTAATATAATTTAAGACATATATATATGATTATATACACTATACAGAATACAACTATAGATAGAGCGAAAAAGGAAAAAGATTTTTTTTTGCCTTTATCAAAAATTTTATATATTTTTATCCAATCCCGAAAAAGATCATAACTAAAAACTTCAACTTAATTTAATGTTTTTTTTTCTCGCAATTTTGTGAAGTTGTATTCATCTGTCAAAATTAGTAAATTTTCAGTTTTGTCGATCAGATTATACATAATTCGACTGATTTATACCTTATTCGACAATTTCACATTTGCGCATTTTTTATTTTTTTTGCGTGCTTGTGAATTGTGAAATTTCTGTTCAGATCTGCTTATATACGTTTTGCTGAATTATTATAAATTCACGTTAAACCAAAACAGCAAAATATTTGTGAATTTCCGGAATTTTCCAAATTTAAGGATCTAACCAGATCCGTTGTATCTTCCCAGATGATGTTTGCAGCTAGGACAGCTATGAGTCACCTGAAAAAGGGAAAAAGTTAATGTTAAATCGTGAGCGGAACATGTCCGATCTACAACGGTATCCTTTAAACCGGTTTGTTTGAACCAAAATGCCAAGGAAATACTCGATTTTCTGTAAATGTGACTTGCAGATTTATCTAGCAAAGAAAACTGAACATATTGACAGATGTCGACATCTTGAAATGGTGAAATTACGTTCTCATTCACTTCAAATAATAATCTTATGCCATTAGGACATACGCTCTCCACTCATCACTAAACCCCACTATTCAATCGTACAGAGTACTGCAGATCACTGCAGTACGCTTAGTTTAAGATGACGCATGAAAACTAATTATGACCTTGACCCCAGACTGTGACTTCTCCTATTCAATTATGTTAATTCTAATCGTATACTGTAAACTCGTACGATTTTGATAAATTAACGTTTTCACGTTTTCCTCTTGTAATTTGAAAAGTTTGTACTTCCACAGTTAAAAAATGTAATCAAAGTTTCATAACACTCTACATGAAAGTCCGTTAAAATTTTGGAGGAATGATTATATAACGCATGCCTCCACTCCACCCCCCCCTACTTAAGAACGTCATTTTTAATTCAAAGTGTAGCTTTGAAAGTCCCCCGCAAAAAAATAGAGACTTTTTATCCCCTGACTATATCCCAGATCCACTATATCTTCCAAGATTGTGTTTGCAACTTGGACAACTGTGATTCACCTCACAAAGTTTTTAACAATTTCGATATTTATTTTTCAAGATCAACATTCTCATTTGCAGGGTGCCCCCTTTCCCAAATCCCTGTTGTGTGTCTGTGAAATGTGATTACAGAAATGGAGAAATAACCGGACAAAGTAAAGTAGTTAAAACCGTAATGAGGAAAATTCGTCACTGACCTTAGCTAAGCCAGACCTTTCAACAGATTTTGATCTTATTTAAATTTTCAAATTAATTATTCTTTATCTTTAAACTTTCTTAAACCTTAACCTTGATCTTGATCTTTTTAAACTTGATCTTACCTTGTTCTCTGGAAAGTGTGGAAATTTTTTTCAAAGAGCTCTAGCATATTATGAGAATACAGTAAATTAACACTTTAGACTACCGTGACCTCTGATTCGTGAGTTACAGCCTCCCAAAGATCCGATCTTGATGCAGATTTTAGCACGACTTCGCATACTTCTTATGGCAATATTTGTTTATCCATAAAGCTAATTTTAATGCCATTTTTTTAATTAATAAAACTAACGAACCAGAGGTCACAGGAGCCTGAAATTTTGGATATCACGCTTTCTCAAAATATGCTGGCTGCAAACCTTTTTTTAAGTCCATGATATTGACTTCCAGGCCATATGGTGTAATAATTCTTTCTTGTTTTTACCACTACATTGACCTCCATAATGAATTAAGATTCAACCTTGATCTTGAAATTGACCATGACCCACGGGTGTATAATTTTAATGGTGGAAAATTTAAAACATTAAAAATAAAAAGGCTATTTTTAAAACCTTTTGATACTTTTCCTTAAAATAAATTATTCATTTCCTCTAACCAATCATTCAATATCCTCAATCCGGAGAAGAACACGACCAACAAAATTTGCGCTCTTAAAACATGATTTTGAAAGTATGGGGCCTGGGAAGTTGATTTTCCAAGAAAATAAACACCCCTGCCATGATTAATGATCATTTACCTGTTGCATACTATCCACGCAACAGGGCACGCAAGCACAGATCCAGCACCTGCACAACAAATAATTATTAATTATTAAACATATTTTGTATTTAAATTAATAATTATAAGGATATGGCCGGATATCATCAACAAGTTTTTAAACACGACACAGGCACAGATTATTTAGTTTTTTCTCTCGCACAAAATTGAGTCCCCACTGAGTGAGGAAAAGATTGAAAAAGCTTTGAGTCCCCTTGCCTAGCTCCCTAAATTCAACAACAGAACAAAATCATTGATTTTTAAAATTGTACTTGCTCCTATTTTTTAAGAACAGTAAATTTAAAACTGATTTTCTATCTAAAAATTAACCATTTTCAATTGTGGCTTCTCAATTAACAGTGAGTTGCGGATATGCAGCAGTGACAAAAAATAAAGGTCACTTACATATACGTTTCCAGTCCCTTTAAATGAAAAGAAAATCTAAATTATTACCCAACGAAGCAGAGAAAAGCAGAGAGAACGTACGCCATGACCGATGGTTCTCCGACAGTAGTGGTGGTGATGCTCTGCTGACAGTGCGGGCAAACCATGTTGAGCGGACGGTGACCGAAGGTCACGGCGGGTATATACTGCACCTTAAAAATATAATTCTTTTTTAAAAATTAGCTAATACATAATTTAAAAGTAAGTAACGTAGAAGAATTTTAGAATAGAATTAACATTCATAAAAAATAACATTTTGTTGCAAACGTGATTGTAGTTTGTAATTGATTATAATTTATAAATCTTCAAGAAGGCTCTTAATATAAAGAGAAAACGAAACCTTGAATACTTTTAGAACAGTGACAAATTAATTCTTCATCAAAAACTAACACTCGCGCGGGCGCTTCCCTAAAATCGACGGCATTCATTAACTTAAACTTAAATCTTGATGAAAGAAAATCGTTAGCCCTAAGAAAAAAACTCAAGAAACCCCCTCCCCTGATATCCCTCTTTCACAAATTATTAAGACCTGTACCTGCGTACGCGTAGTAACGATCGGCACAACCGTCGGAACCTTATCACCAGGCCCAGAGTTGGGGGGAAGTGGCGGGTACATGGTTGCTGCTGGCGGAGAATAAACGGCGTTGGGTGGAGGCGGGTAGAATCCTCCAGCGGCAGCTGTAGACTGTTCATAAGATGGTGGAGCATCCGGCATACCTCCCTAAAATAAATGATTGTCATTATTTTTACATTTATATTAGTCTATAATACCGTAAACATGGTAGTAATATAATTTGCAAAATAAATAATCAATTATTTATAAAATATCATTGGAACATTTCAAGAAGTGAGCCCGCAGCATATCAGCTCAAAAAATCAGCTAACATGAAAGAAAACTTGCTGATTTTGTCCATTAAATCAATTGTATTTTGATGAATAAAGTGTGAGAGGAAAAGATATTTTTGATAAGGCAGAATACATATAAATTGATCACATTTAAAAAAAATTAAATACAACACCTGCTGAAAATGTTCGTTTTCCATTGGAGGAGCACTTTCCTTAGACATTTTAGATGATTGTAGAACGATGAATTATATCTATATGACGTAATATTTTCCAAGGAATTAACAGCTTTATTTATAATACGTAGGTTTGGTTTGGCGTAAATGAGTCAATTCGCAGAATGCCCCGTAAGTCTTTAAGTTACGATTATTTTAGAAGACGACCTCTTTGGTATAAGCTTAGGTATTTTTTAAAAAGGTGGTATATTTTTCGACCAACGCAAATCCGCTATACTTCACTTCTGACCTACGAAAAATCCGCTATACTACACATCCGACCTACTATCACGTGGTTTACAGCTGCTAAATGGACTTGTGACCGGCCCCTTAGCCTGTCCGAGCCGCACCGCTCGGCCCAGAAACTGTCTTAGCCTAACCTGACCTTCAAATAATACCAAAAATAAACAGCTGGCGTAGGTCGGAAAGTTAGCAGGTCAGAAGTTCAGTAGGGGGATGTTGCGTATAGACAGTGTGACAACATTACCATCTAATTCCATAATCTACATTGGTCGAAAACTTGACGTTTCCTACATTCCCTACATATGGTCGTCAAATGTAACGAGAAATAATCCATCTTAGATAAAAATTTAACAGGCATCTAGCGGCCAATATATCGTCCCCCCAAAGTACGTGAGGCAAGGCAGTTCATCAGGACCACTTTCTTTAGAGAGAACGGGCTCAGGGAGCTCGAGGCGGCTTACTACAGGGTGTCCAATATCACATTAGACCGTACCATATAGCTCGATAAATTGTGAATTAAAGGACTTATCAGAAAAAAATAGAAAAAAAATCATTTAAAAAAGGGAAAAAAAATTCTTGCAGAAAATACCAAGTTTTTCGAGCATTTTTTACGAAGTTAGGAATTAAAACTAGGAAATAATCCAATACAGTTAAACCCTAAATAAGTCATGTATATCGGAATAATTCATCAAATGTCGTATTCTTCTACTATCTGATAATAAAATGTTGCCGATATTTAGTTTTTTTTTTAATTAAATGATTATATGGAACGTTAGCTATAAAAATGTTCCTGCATATTCATGGTTTTTTATTTATTTTCGCAGTACTGAGATTTATGTAAAATAGTATAAAGCCCATTGAAATATTGCCAAGACGATATTTGATATATTCTTGCGATGTATGGCTCATTGCCTCCCCCTCCCCGTGTGACCCGTGTACGCTACTAGAAAGATAGTTTCCAAATTACATCAAGAATCCTTCTACTTTTATATTAAGGGCTACACAAAATTATTGCGACTCTAAAGACGACTTAAAATGCTTCATGTACATGAAGAATGAATACCCTTAAGTTGTTAAATTAAGTCCGTCTTAAAATGGGTTTTAAATGACTGATGGATGTTTGGTGCCGACATTGTGTTTTGGCTTTTTTAATGAGTTATGAGTCATGACTAACAGATAATAACTAAATTCCCAGTAGGGAGTGGGGGGGGGGGATCTGATAAACAATTTCGTCGTGCTCCACTCCACTGTGATTCCAATATGAGTGGGCAACACTGTACATCACAAAAGTATTTTCTCTTGAGATATTTCGTTACAGGAGAGTAAAAGAAGGTTTAGCAAGAATAAAGTTTTCAACAATATGAATTTATTTTATTCATGAAAAAATATAGAATTTAAACAAAATTTGAGTTTTCATTTATCATCCATTAATTGCATTGTGTGTCTGTGTCCGTTGGTCAGTCCGTTCATTTCATTCTCCTTGAAATCACCATAGATTACATGGATAGATTTATATCAATTTCCTAAAAACTTTTAACTCTATTTCTCGAACATTAGTGAGAGTGGCCTTTAACAAATGTAAACCAATTATTAAATTTAAAAACTTTAAAAAAGATCAAGTTGAAGGTTAAAAATATTAAATCGTAATCTATTCGTCCCTCATCATCTTCTTCACTTAGAAATTCAATATTCTCTTCCTCATCCTCCTCTTCATCATCAATGTTTAGGAGCTCATCCAGATAATCAGGATCAACGTCCTTAACATTCAATCTTAATTTAGATCAATTTCAATTCAGTCGTAGTCGGATATATCAATAAAATACTTTTATACAGCATGGAAATAGGATACACATAATCATGGAAACAAAGAGAAGAGAAGCTGTCAATTGACAGCTTCTCTTAGTTTACGAGTAAACTTTTATTTAAAAAAGCTTTTCAGAAATAAAAACGTAAATATGAAAGTCGTCTTCATTGTATTGATATAAACGACGACCACTGTATGAGAAAAAAGGACCAGGTCAAATTACGAGCAAATTCAAGGTCAAATTGAGATCAAATTCAAGGTAAAATTGAGATCAAATTCAAGGTAAAATTTAAAATAAAATAATAGGTCAAATACAACAGGAAGAATCAAGGTCAAGGTAAAATTTACGATCAACCTCCACGTCAAAATAAAATCGAAGGTCAAGTTTCAGTTTAAGATTCAACTCGAAGGTTGAGTTCAACTTAACGGAAAGATAATAAACATTCATTCTCCAAAAGAATTTTATTTATCTTTCTTATTACCAACATCTAATTTTCAGGACTGAATTTTTAAAAATATTCGCAGTTGTCACTTATTTACCTCGGCTGGTCTAATAAGTGCCATATCTTCTAGTATCTCATCCTCGGAATCATCTTGATACACTTAACAATCAATCAATCAATCAATCAAATATTTTATTAGCTAAATCTATATATACTAGGCTTTTCTTCTTTATCAACTTTTATTTGTGGCTTTATCTGTGAGCATCTTCTCTTTGTACAGTATAAAACAAAAACAAAAAAGTTTGCGGATTTCATAATATTTTTTTCGCGCATTTTCAAAATTTTACAAAAATAAAAAACTTTTAAAAACAAATTTTTTAAATTTTGCTCATTCATAAACCTTCCCTGGGGTCAAGTGAGGTTCCACACAAAATTTGGGCCAGATCGGTTCAACCGTTTTGACGTTTATTGGATACAAACAAACAAACAGACAAACAAGCCAAATTTATATATAGATATCTATATGTAAATTGGCTTGTCTGTTTGTTTGTATCCAATAAACGTCAAAACGGCTGAACCGTTCGGGCCCAAATTTTTTGTGGGACCTCACGTGACCCCAGGAAAGGTTTATGAATGATCAAAATTTTAAAAATTTGTGTTTAAAAGTTTTTTATTTTTGAAAAATTTTGAAAATGGGCAAAAAAATATTATGAAATCCGCAAACTTTTTTTGTTTTTGTTTTATACTGTACAAAGAGAAGATGTTCAGAGATAAAGCCACAATTAAAAGTTGAAATAGAAGATGGGCGCGAAGCGCCCTAAAAGCCTAGTGTATATATATATTTTGCTTGTCTGCCTGTCTGTTTGTATCCAATAAACGTCAGAACGACTGAATCGATCGGGCCCACATTTTTTGTGGGACCTTGCGTGACCTCAGGAAAGGTTTATGGATGATGAATTTTCAAAAATCTGCCTCAAAATTCGAATTTCGAAAATTTCGAAAATGCACGATTTTTTTATAAAATCCGCGATATTTTGTTTTGTTTTTGTTTTACAATGTGTACATAAGATAATTGTTCAAAATTGAAATAGAAGATGGGCTGTAAGCCTAGTATGCTAAAATCTTTTACTTTTCATATTGCAATAGATCTCCAACCTTACTAGAAAGTGAAGAATGCAGGGAATAAAATGTCGTTTTTCTAATGGTATAAATAAAAAATTTGGCTTTTTTGATTAGCTGCAGAGTGCAGAGGTATAAAGCCATAATTCAAAACGAAAAAAAATCTCACACCCACCCCATTCATATCAGAAAGATCCCTTGATGAAATCTACACCCCTATCATCTATATATACTTTGCTTGTCTGTCTGTCTGTTTGTTTGTATCCCATAAACGTCAAAACGGCTGAACCGATCAGGCCCATTTTTTTGTGGGACTTCAAATGTCTTCAGGGAAGATTTATGGATGATCGAATTTTCAAAAATTTGTCTCTTAACAAAATTCGATTGAGATAATTTTGAAAGAAAATCCACGATTTTTTTTTATAAAATCCGAGAATTTTTTCATTTCTTTTTACAATGTATACAAAGAGAAAATGTTCACAATTGAATTAGAAAATGGACGCATAGCGCCCTAAAAGCCTAGTATTACCTAAAAGTGGGGTAGCGTCTGGAACCATCTTCACTCCACTTCTGTTTGCCATCAGCTGCTCGTATAACATTTCCAGACTATTTTTCAACTGAATTAATCAAATATTCATCAATTTGTACATACCGTATGAAATTAACAATCATTTATTATGTTTAATGTATTATGCATCAAACAATGTCCAATGTCCTGACTGGTCTTCAACAATTCAAATATTCAATTGTAGTATCATGTATCATGTATAATGTATTATGCATCTTGTATCATGTATTATGCATCATGTATCATGTATCATGTATCATGTATCATGTATCATGTATAATGCATCATGTATCATGTATAAAGTATAATGTATCATGCATCATGCATCATGCATCATGCATCATGTATAATGTATCATGTATCATGTATCATGTATCACTGTTCAATGTGGTCTTGGCAGTGTCCAGACTAGTCTTCAACTTTATAATTTAAATATTAATGTAATTTATTTCATGTGTTATCTATAATTGTTCTTTTGTTCTTTTTTATTTCATGTGTAATTTATCATGTATCATGTTTTAGAATTCATTTATCAATCATTAAGCAATGTCCAGACTAGTCTTCAATTATGCATTCAATAGTTCTTTGATGATATCATACGTAATCCATCATGTATCTAAGAAACGTCAAAAAGTCGGAACAAATCGGGCACGTTTAAAAATAGTTCATAGAAATATTGTTTTTTATTTTTTGTTTACGCGACTACAATGGTGTAGTGAAACTAAAGGGCTCAGTAAATAAACAAACTAATATATATTTTAAACAGTCCCAAATATATTTGTCTTTTTACTTACTTTTGAAATTTGAAACATGTTTATCATCCTGGATGTGCAAAGTTCATCAAGAGGATTTAGAATTTCCTAAAAGAAAAAAATTCTTCAAAAGTAATCTAAGATACCCTAAAAATAGTTATTTAAAATAATAAGAAATATCTTAAATTTTTTAGAAAACTAAACCACTGCTTAGGATCCGGATACGTTAAATTCGCAACATTTTGGTTGGATCCAAATCCAAGGGTCAAAATACCTACTAAAACCCAATACAAAACACACATCTCTTGAAAAATGTTAGATTGTTAAAAATTTAATACTCTCTTATCTCTAGTTTTAACATAAAAATAAGCCAAAAAAAATTAAGATAAAATTTGTTTTTATTTGTTTAAAAACTCGGTAAATTTCTAAAACTAGTTCATGTCCCGGATCCGGTTTCATTTTTTTCATGGTAGACCCGCATCAAAATAAAATGAACCCTGAGCGCTGTACCATACAAAACTCCAAAAAAAGTAGAACGTTTAAACGAGTATGTTGATGTTTTACAGTAATATGATAATTTACTTTTTAAATTAATTGTTCATGGGTTTAAAATTTATTGATAAAAAGAAACCAGTTGAACTAGATAAAACAGCGGATTAACTAATTATCTGGTTTAACTTGACAAAACTATCCGAATCTAATTTAAATCCTTTTTATTATAAATCAGTATCTGTACTGCAATTTCTGGGAGGAAATGTAAACAAAATCAAAGCTTTAAATGCTAAGTTTATTAATAACCCTCTAATAAGCTGCAATACATGTTTTCAATCTAAACACAAAATATAGGGTTCCTGGCCCCTGTGTTTGGAGTTCATGGCAAGCTGTAGTTGGACTAAGTATTGATAGTAACTACTTTTCTGTGCCTTTTTGACTACAATAGAGCAGCCTTTTAACCCCCTTTAACATAGTAGAGCCACTTCTAGCTATCTATATATATAAAGTAGCAGTCTCTGTTAGTTTGTTTGGATGTCTGATCATAACTTATGAACCCCTAGATTGATTTGCCTCAAGCTCAACCGTCATAATTTCGCCGTTAACCCAAACCTACCTCTTTTATTCCCGGGGAGGATGAAAGATATGAAATATGTGTTTTAATCAGTCTAAACGCCCAGTTTAGAATAACAGGATTTCTTGACTCCTAAATAAGTGAACATTTTGTATTTTGTCAAGGAAGGATGGGATAGCAATTAATGCCCAACATAATCTACAAATATGTAAAATGTTAAAAATCAGAAAAACAAAGCCTTTAACTCTATGGAGTAAAATTGAGGAAAATCAGAAATTATTTCAATTATCTAATTGTCCCTCGCCTCACTCCAATAACATTCCGCGCTCTGGATGTTTTGTAAGCAAACTTGGTTTTGGTAAAATTTCTTAATCTTTCATCTGAAGCAGTTTTCAATAATTGTATCATCCAACGTATCTGTCATAAAAAAATTACACTTAATTCAAAGAGTGTAAAAAACTTTTTTCAATGAGATCATGGTTTTAAGTATTGGTTTATTTAAGAACTTTAAGATCTTACTTGAGTTGTGCTTTGCTTCTTTTGTTTCTTAGGAGATTTGGGGGATTTGGGGGATTTGGGGGACTTGGAGGTTATACCAGACTGCGGGCCCTTAACAAGAAAGTTAGGTAGTTAGAAGCTGAATAATGTAGCATAAAAAAGGTTGTCCACGGTAATTTTCCTATTCTTTGATAGATAGATTATAAGAGAAACAGCTCTAAGCAGCGAAATTCAAATTATTGAGGGATATTTGGTCGATAGATAGATACTTTCATTATACCTTAAACAATTCTGAGCAATAACAAAATCAAAAATTATATTTTATAGATAGATAGATACCTTTATCATACTATAAACAGCTCTAAGCAGCGGAATAACAAAGTCTAAAGGGATATTTGCGATTGTTTCTTCAACCAACTCCTCAGAGAAATCTTGACCCAATAAATCTTTAAGAACACTAAAAAAGGCATGTTTTAAAATACAATTTTAAAAGGATCATCAACAAAATGTAATAATGTAATTTTCTGTCTGAAAAACAAAACAATACAAAAAACAACAATGATCTCGAAGCGTACAGAAAAACCCCGAGAACTACTTTTTAGAAAATGAGGGCACAATTAAGTATTATTAGTGTTTTATAAAGGAAGATTTGGTACATAAAAATGCTTTCATTAATCATTAAAAAGTAAAACTAAATATTGAAAGATTATATACAGAGTAAAAGAATAAAAACATTTATTAAACTGATTGACGAATTGTTAGCGGTTACATACTTATGAAAAAACCTTTCCACCAGATTTTCTTTGGATTCTCGTGACTTAAAATGCACTAGCATATTTTGTTTCTAACTGTGAAGCAATTTAAAAATCACAAGACTTAGAATCCGGATCCGATGGATCCGCAATAATTTGGCTTCCTGGATCCGGATCCACAAACAAAAGGGCAAAATATCAACCAAAACCAATAAGTTTGTTCACTAAACACAAATAAAAATTGTTAATAGATTAACGAAAAATTCCAAAATTCTGAATGAACGGAAATAAAAAAAAAATGCATGAATATTTTTCATTCGTTAAAAAATCAGTAAATCGTTAACAAACGTTCCGGACCTCGATCCTGGTCAAAATTAAGAATGCCATTTCTTTTGCTACTATTAAAATTTTTTTTTAAATATTTATTGTTTAAACCTTACCTGTCATCCTTGTCATTAACCCCAGAAATTAGAAGTTGGGCCAGAGTTTCCGAGTTGGGATATTTCTATTCAAGCAACCATTCATTCAAAATACAAATAGATAGATAAATTAATGAAGGATGAATAAAGGAAGGAATAAATGTTCCGGACCTCGATCCTGGTCAAAATTAAGAATGCCATTTCTTTTGCTACTATTAAAATTTTTTATTAAATATTTATTGTTTAAACCTTACCTGTCATCCTTGTCATTAACCCCAGAAATTAGAAGTTGGGCCAGAGTTTCCGAGTTGGGATATTTCTATTCAAGCAACCATTCATTCAAAATACAAATAGATAGATAAATTAATGAAGGATGAATAAAGGAAGGAATAAATGGATAAATAAATAAAATAATGAATAAGTAAATCAATGATTAACATTTAACATGGATGGATTAATTATCGAATCAGTAAATGGATTAATAAATAATAATGAATGTTCCTTGTCTATGCTAGGTTGAAATGTTGTCAAACGATCCTCTGAAAAATAAAATAACAAATCATTATTAAAAAAAATACATTGCGTAGAAAGCATTGGGTACAGATTTTATTCTAGAACTAATCTGCTTGCTGCTGGTCAGTACTTCAGTCCAACTTAATTCTGTATTAATACTTAATTGTCAACAAATAAAAAATTATTTCTCTTAATTTTCATATTCTTAATTATTTTTTGATCTTTATTTTAGTTTTAAATATTTGTATTTTTTTTGGGTTTAATTACCTAACGACATGGTCTCCAGGTTTCCGGCATCTATGTAAAAAAAAAGTTTCAATAAAACTACATTTAAAAAACGATGAGAGGGGGGGGGTCGAAATTTCAAACTCTGTGGTAAATTTAAATTTATGTATACAAAAAAAAATTTTCTTCACGCTAAAATCAGAAATATGAACACGTACACACAACGATTAATTGGATTAAGTAGTGAAAACGACTTATACATGCAAGATATGTTATGATCATTTCAACTTAATAATGTTGAAGAAATTTTAAATGGTCACAGAGGTGTACATTCTTTTTTCTGAAAAATCATTCTCCAACCCCTTCATTGAAATAATTTTTTCCTCCTTCAGAAGTTTGCATGTTTGCACGAAGTGGCTTTTTTTCCCACAGAAAGGGAACAAATAAATTTATGGGGAAAATAATAAAATTTTGGGTTGAAAGTGTGAACAAGGATGNGATCTTAAGAAACGTTTACTGCACCTGGATGAACAAACTTGAATTTAGAGTTTTCTGAAACTGCTTGCTGCTTCATCACTTCCTTTCCTTCAAAATATAATAAATAAATGTTTTTAAAAAAACTTGAGAAAATTTCAAACGATTCTTCATTGATAAAGTGGCATCGATTCACTGACTTCTGCTTAAATAACATGAAGGAAAATTTTATATTTTTTTGTTTAAAAATGTTTTTTTTTATAATTTCATTCAATGTCTTTGCACTAGTCACTTTAACAGAGAAACCACATCGAAATAAATAAATTTTTAGAGAATGGGTTTGTTTTAAGAACATTAAGACATAAAGTGTTTTAGTTTTAGTGGTTCCTTTATGACAAGAACCGGTTCTAACTAGTTTACCTTGCTTCAGTGTTTGCATTGGTTTGATTATGCATGACAAGAACCGGTTTTAACAAGTTTTAAATAGCTTACCTTGTTTTGATGTATGGTTTGTTTATATGTAACTAGTACCGGTTTCAATTAGCTTACCATGTTTTAATGTTGGCATTGGTTTGTTCATGACAAGAACCGGTTTTAACTCCTTACTCTTCAGGATATCCAGCTCAAGAGCGGAAGATGACCTAGAAATGCAATGGTTGGTTGATTAATCCTTTGATCAACTGATTGATTGAGTATATTGATTAATTGCTTCACGGGCTCATCATCTTGTTGTCTGGATTGCTTTTGAGGACTGCCATTGTTAACTAGCCTTGGTTGATTAAAAAAAAAATAAACACAGAAACTAAACTTAGTCTGCATCACATTAAAACTATTTAAAAATTTTAGAAAATATTTCAATGTCAGGTCGCAAAGGATCTAAATTGCTGAATTTTTTCGAAAAATAATTTTATAATACGAAAGAAAATCAAATAAGCCAAAGTATTCAAAATTTTCACTGAATACAAAACTTGGCAAAAAGATGATTTCTTTAGACCGAAATATATTATTTACTGATTCTAGGATCTTGCTTACCCATATGCAATGTGTAATTCGTCCAAAGAATTTGAATAACAGCAACGGATAGGAATCTAAGAAATAAGCGCTCAATACAAAACTGAAATTAGGCCAAAATTTCAATTTGGAATAAAGATGAAAGTATGGAAAGGAGAACCAGAGCTGAAAACTTTAGAATGGGATATCCTTGATCCCGATCTGTTAATTAATCACAAAAGAAGAACAAGTCATATTTAATCTCGAGATTAAGAAAAAGATTGGATCAAGCATTAATCCCGATATCCACCATTCAAAAGTTCACAGCTCAGGATGGATTATTTTAATTTTTATTTTTTTCTCTCTAATATTTGATAATCATAAAGAGGAAGAGAGATATTATTGAAACATCAAAAACCAATAAAAAGATAAGGAAGTGTCTACCAATTAATTGTTAAACTGTTTTTTATTTAACATATTTAAATTTTCGATTACGCTGATAAAAATTCAACTTAAATTGATCTTTAAAATATTTTTTTTTAGGAACTGAAACTGTCAAGAGGTATATATCTTTATTAAAATTTCTTAAGTTGCTAACTATTGAGTTCATTTTCCTTAGTGACAGTGGATCCACTAGGCGAGGCAATCTGAACTAGATTTGTACACAGTAGAGTAGTTCCATTTGTACCTTTCAATCTATATCTGAAGACTTGTACGCTCCCTAAACATTATATTAGGAGTGTACTTTGAGCCCAAAACTTAAAACATTGTATCGTTATGAAAACCAATTTTTGAAACTCGGGCTTCAAGAATGATAGTGGATATCAACACTCTTGTAAAAATCAACTTCTACACAAATGTTAAGACCCCAAAAATGAAACTCTGTAGTTACGTTAAATTTGGGGCTCTGAGCCCCAAATTTAAAAGAGTCTCTTTTCCATTTTGGGGTCTTAAAATTTAAGTTTATGTAAGAGATTCGAAAAAAAGGAGAACACGAAGAAACTAAATAAAATAATATTTCGTAACAAAAGTATTGATATCTACAAAACTGCCTAACCCCATTCGTAAAACCCAGGTTTCAAAACTGGCTTTTATAACGATACCCTGTTTTAAGTTTTGGGCTCTGGAGCGTAGTTCCTTTGTACCTTTCAATCTATATCTGAAAACTAGTACGCTCCCTACATTTTATAGAAAGAAAAGATAAATTAATAGGAAATAAAGACATAAACATACCCTCCCCTCCCCCCACCCCATTGCAGACACCAAAAATGTATAAAAATAACAAATTGCAAGTGATCCTTAATTTAAATCACTTATAGATGCTTTAATGTCTTAAATTTTTTAAATTCTCTCGATTTCCTTCATTGTCTATGATTGAAATCGGATTAACTATTTATTGTTCGCTAAGAAATGTATCGGGGTATTGAGAACATAACGAAATCTGCAAGAGACCCCAATGTGGACCCCACAGACCGCCAGCAGATATGGGAAGCACCCGTTCCACTGCCGACCTTTAATCCCCCCAAGCTTTCCCCAGCCGGGGGGGATCAAGGAGATACTTCCGGTGGTTGGCAAACCAATTAAACCCATTGTTTGGTTTACAACCCTTTAAACTCAGATTAACGTCGACAGTCCCTTTAATTTACCTTCCAATGTGGTGATTGTTGTTAATATTTCATCTTTGTTATATACATGACATCCTAAAATAGTATTTCATCTTTGTTATATACATGACATCCTAAAATAATATTTCATCTTTGTTACATACATGACATCATAAAATAATATTTCATCTTTGTTACATACATGACATCCTAAAATAGTATTTCATCTTTGTTACATAAATGACATCCTAAAATAATATTTCATCTTTGTTACATACATGACATCCTAAAATAGTATTTCATCTTTATTACATACATCACATCCAAAAATAATATTTCATCTTTGTTACACACATGACATCCTAAAATAGTATTCCATCTTTGTTACATACATGACATCCTAAAATAATATTTCATCTTTGTTCCATACATGACATCCTAAAATTTAACTAATTAAATTAAACTTTTAATTTCAGATATGAAGATAAGATAAGATAAAGTTTATTGATAAATAATTATATCTGTATACAGAACGAGTTTACAATTACAAAATGATAATTTTTTAAAAAGTATACACCCCTATAAATGTTTAAACCACTTTTTAATATATTTTGTTTTTTCAATGTTTTGATAAAAAAGTATATTTTTTACGTTTTTATACATTTTTTACTTTCCGTGTTTGAATTAATTATAAATAATCATATCATATATCATATGTTTTCATCAATCTAAGTAGATTATGGGTTTGAACCTACCTATTTGATTGATTGATTGATTTACGTCAAGAGTGAGATAGGGTGTAGTAGTCTTATTATCCAAGGACCAAACTAACAATTTTAAATAAATTTAAAATAATTGTTTTATTAACTTCAGAAGAATGCATGCATTAATGGAACAATTACAGAACAATTTGAAAAACTTTTTTCGAACTGCTCAAATTTTAAACCACCTCAGTTAAAAAGGAGGTTGAGAAATCTGAATAGTGTATTAAATCAACCTTCTCAGTCAAAAATTTCCATCCTTGATCTAACTTTATTATCCAGATTAGGGTTTCCAATCGGAAATCCGCTACGCGTAATTGAGCGAAAGTGTGCGAAATTGCGCGCATTTGTGCGAAATTGCAAGGCTCCGCAATTGCGCCAAATAAAATCCACTTGCGTAGGAAACCCTCATCCAAATATAATTATGCATAAAATGAAATCTATAATTCTTAGCTAGGAATCTTTAGGGAATGTAGTCGTAATTTCAAACAACTCTCTGTTAGTGTGGCATGTTCGAGACGCAAAGATACCCTTAAAAGCTTTGTCTGATTGTGAGTGAATGAAGTACCCATGGCGTATTCCTTAAAAACTTTATTATTGAAATTATAGTTATCAGAATTAAAAACTTTTAAAGCTGGAAAATAATATCCTCCATTGATCAGATGAAGGTTCAACGGTTTTCATTGTGAATCGGAGATGGCCTTTAATATGGAGGTTCAATAAAATTTATAACAGTCCCTTTAATTTATGAATTTGATATCTGTCACCCACCTTTCACGTTCATTTGATCTGAGGCTACGGCTAGGATATAAGGTTTACCGCCTACTTCAATACTGCACAGCTTTGTCACTTCGCCGGAGAAACCTGAAAGTTAAATTCAAAAGTGACAGTTAATACATCCAATACTTTTTGCGGTAGGGCTGTCCTCAAGGGTGTAATGCAAGGAAAGTTAATTGCGGTCGTCTATACTCTGCGTACATATTGAAACCAGTTCAACCAGTTCTCTTTGGGCAGAATTTGTAAACAAGAATAGATGCATCAATGTTGGTTTAGTATTCGAGGAGGTTAAAAGCATTAAATTTTGATAATTCACATAATAGTTTCCTATGACCAAAATATTTCATTGATTTTTTATGTGAAAGATGGATCCCATGTCAGGCTTTGACATCCGTCTTGTGTTTACATTACCACCGAGAAAGTACACTGCAGTACAAAAGATGCGTAAACCTCTGAAATAACTTTCCTTGCATTACATCCTTGGCTGTCCTGGTCAATTTGGGATTTAATTTCCTTTTCTCTATAAATCTCCTTTCCAAATTTTATCAGTCTTTCGCGAAATAGATTTTTTGTTTACTTGAGTCATGTTTAGAGAAAACTTCTCGAGAAAAAAACATTCATACAAACAACAAACCCTTACAGTTGGCTGGGGCGGGGTGTAATATTAGATAATTATCGCCCAGTCTAAATTTTGAATATATTTGATAAATACACAGTTAGAACCAAAAAGCATTAGATTTCTCGTACTCGTAGTCTTCTTTTTTTATTATGAAAAAAAAGATTTTTGTAATTTGCGACTGAAGAATTTCTTGAACATTTTATATTCCCATAATACGTAGCGACGCTCCTAAAGTAGTCACTTAATTCATTCCGAAGTTTTCATTCCAAAGTCTTCTGGTTCTCGCTGTATGACCAAAAAGATGTATACTAACCTTTAAAAGTTTTAAGAAGGGTTTGGTTTCTTATCTCCCAAACCTGAAGTTCTTTAGTTCCTTGATTACAAATCAATCAATCAATTAATAAAAAATGATTTTTCTAGAAATCTTTCCAGGATGCAGATTAAATTAAAATCAATTTTTTATGTTTCAAGTTTAGTATTCACAAAAGGTCAATATTTTGAATAATTTTCACAAAAAATATCCTTCTTCTTTGCTAAAAAACATTTATCAAGTAAAAAATGATTATTAGAAATTATAAAATATGCTGAATGATAATTTTCCTACGACAATCTTTTTATTGTCTGGAGTAAGCGCAAGACAATTAACAGGGTCATCTCCAGTACGGAATCTGAAAATAATATGGTTAACTGCATCGGCTTCGGTATGGAATCTACAAAATACAGATAAAGGGTTCTGACCCGGTGGGAAATCAAAAAAAAATAAAATGGGTTGAACCGGGGATAAGGGGAGATACATTTTTGTTGATTTTAGATACTTTAATGCTTAAAAATGGTACATTTGTTAATCTTTAATAAAAGCATGGCGAATTTGAAAATTAATTCAAGCATTTGATACTTTTTACTCAAAAATCATATAATCTACCAGTTCTTCAAAAAATATATTTCAATTAAAAATTTCTTATTTATCATTCAAATGTTTACCTAACCATGAGCTCAAGTTCAAGGGCAGAAAATATGGAAACCAATCCATCCTATAAAAAGATTGTCGATATAACATTTAGTGATTTGTGGCCACAACGTTTTATGGTACTGGCTTAGAAACAGTCAATCCAATTAATTAAAGTGTTTTTTTAGGAATATCCCCAATTACATCTTTTAGCCCCCTTACTCAGAATTCTATGATACAAATTATCTTAGGTTTTTTCTTTTGAAATCTCACCTTAAGGTAGAATATTTTACAGAACAAAGTAATTATAAACCAATCCAACAATAAATTGTGTGCACCGCCACATACAGATAAGAATCTTCTTTCTCGTTTCTCAGAGATGTTGAAAATATAATCTCAATTTAAGAATCGCATGACATTTAGCTGAAAATCATCCATTTAAAGGTGCTTTGGGAGAAGAACTTTTTCTGCATGGAGAGCAAAATTATCTCTGCTAAGAGTGCAAAATGACCTCTGCTCCAAGAGCAAAATCACCTCTGCGCTCCATAAGCTAAATCACCTCTGCTCAAAGAGAAAAATTACCTCTGCTCCGACGATCATGGATTTGCATGAATGACTCCAGGCTATTGAGAGAATGCGGATATTAGGTAGAGAAACCTTCAGACTAGCAGCAATATCACACATCTCAACACTGGAAACAATTATCTATATTTATATAAAGTAGTAATCTCTGTCTGTTTGATTGTCCAATCATAACTAATAAAACCCTTGAACCGATTTGTCTCAAATTTTGATTGGGGAGTTCGGTAAACCCAGGAAAGCTTACTTAGCTTGGTTTAAGAATTGGGTTGAATTTATTGCCAATGTTCAATTTCCAGAGCTGATACATTATGTTTCAGAAATTTTACTGAGAGAGGGGTTTTAATGATCTTTAATGATAAGGGGAATTAAATATGAACTAGACGCAAGCTTTAACAATTTTTATTCTCCAAAATAAATCCGTGTTTCCCTCAAAAAATTTCGTGATCAAACCAAAATAAATGTAAAAAAATGATATTACAGTAAAACATTCTCCCCACTCTTAAAAATACTATAATTTTTTGTTCAGTGAATGCGAGTTTGACGAGTTTGAGTGGTCTGGGCCCGAAGATTCGAGTAGGCCTGGCGAGAGTTTGTTCAGCGATGTAGCTCAAATTCATTAAATTCGGCCCCCCGCTTACCTGAAGAGTAGAACAGTACCAGCACTTGTACCCAGAGCAATGATATCTGCTGAACTCTCAACCACATTCTGCTTCACAGATTCAGATCTAAAATATTTAAAAAATTGTCAACAAATTTAAACAAAGAAGACTTGATCGTTTCAATTTTTTAAATTAAAGATATTCCTGCGCCCAGGCGTTTTCAGATTATGTAATAATCTCATAACTGCAAAAATTTCGAAATAAAATAAAAAAGTTTAAAACATTTAAAAAAGGTGTCGAAAACATTTTTGATAAGACAAAATAATGAACATCAACTAAACTAGCATATTGTTGATCCTTAATATTCCAGGCATAAATGAGACGATTGATGTTATTTATTGATTTAATCGATGTTAATATTGACATTTACAGATTTATAATAAACCGATTAGCGTTAATGTAATGTGTTATGTTAATATTAAGATACTTGTAACTTTTGATTCATAAAAATTAGTTTTTCCGTCCCTTTCAACCATTTCTTTTTCTTATTTTAGTAAATACACCCCTAAACGCATACAAGAAACCTGGACAAAAGTTTTATTTTTTAATCAAGACAGAGGGAGGACCCCCCAGAAACGTAGAATCGAAAACTAAGAGCAAGTTAGACCTCTAGGTACTTTGTTAGAATAAGAATTTTCAGAAATAGGGTGGGGACGAGCCTTATTCTCTTAAGTGTGTTAACCCAGAAAAAATATGAACCTGATTCGGAATTGAGAACAGATATTTTGTTTCCGAAAGAAACTGCAACCCTGTCTCCGTCCGGAGAGTGTTCAAATAGTCCTCCAACATTCTCCATTTTCGGAAGGTCTAGAACTACTCATAATATAATTAATTAACCTTGTGATTTTTGTTTATTAAATTTTGTAAAAGATGCTGATTTGTTTATTTAATAAAAGTTTGAAGAAGAAGAATAATTCACATTCAATGAAGCACAATATAGGTCAATTGTCAAAAAAAAGTAATAATACATTTCAAATAACAGAAAAAATGTTGTGACAAACTAGTAAAATAAACTAAGCGTAACAGCTACGTTGCTGTATCATGTGTCCTAGCCGCAAAGTATCCGTCGTACTTAATGTTTGAGAACATACTCTATGATAAAAACCAAGTTTATTATAATTGAGTTATCTCACAGAATATTGATATCGTCAATCCATTCTACACATTAACTGGATCCCAATGCCTTTAAATAATTAATTTATAGTGTCTTTTCCATAATATTCACATTACCTTATTAGATTTTTAACCTTTAAAACTTGAAAAATTGCATCACACACGTGGGTAAATATTCGTCTGTTTTTGTTTTGATTCTGATTTATATCGAGTAGATACGCTTACTTGAAAACATTAAACAATTATACATTTTTGTTGATTTTAGATACTTTAATGCTTAAAAATGGTACATTTGTTAATCTTTAATAAAAGCATGGCGAATTTGAAAATTAATTCAAGCTTGATTGAAAAAATAAACGTTTTTATGTAAAGTAAGAGGTTATAAATGTCGTCTTGATAAAAATAAATCTACTCGATATATCTAAGAGTATAGAATAAACCAAACCAAACTATTTCAAATTAGTTCGCCTCGTGTTCACGTGTGAGAGGGTGCAAGCGTCGTTTAGTAAACTTAAAATTCTTGAATCAGCGGATTCGAACTCTTTAGGTTGTTAAATGCTTTATGCTGGATTAAATGTGAACATTTGAAACTGGGTTACGGTTTTGATCAATGACTTATCAGTTTGAGAATTATAACTAAATTTGTTTACTAAGTATTTTACAGATACTGAATACTTCCTAATACTTTCTTAGAACTGGCTACTAAATTATGCTTACTGTGTACAATTCTTTATCTTTCATCTAACGTTCCAGTCTTTCACCACAGCCAAACTCAAGATTTAGGTTTTTTACTTGTTAGTTATTTGATTTTCGTATTCCATATGATATTATAAAATTCCTTTAAATATGGCACAATTTGGGCATGTTGCAGAGAGATTTTATTTTGTATTTCAGAAGTCCATTATGCAGTTGATTGTTCGCTCGCAAGCTACCCACGTCCTAGACGTGAGCCCCGACGCTAATGTCGAGGTAAGGTAGATCTTTATTTAAGGGTTTTGAGTGTAGATATTGATTGTAATTACAAAAATAATTCTGAACATAATCTGTGAAATTATATTATGCAACATTTTAAAAATTAAGTTTTTTACAAAAATATTTTTGAAAAATATTGTTTTTATTTAAACTAATATTTTTTAGATAATACTTTTTTAATAAAGATCTATATTTTCGTAGTAATGGTTTCTTTCATTGTTGAAAAGTGTTTTTTTTTAAACAAAAAAGTCCTTTTAAGATTTTATCATTTTTGATGTTTTCTTTTTTCTTCATCTTTTATCTCTTTTTTTCTATCCATCTATCTTATTTATTTTTAAAAATCTCGTTCTCCCTCCTAATCTAAACTAAACCCAATTAATCAAAGGATATAGGGTAGCAAATCTAGGGTAAATCCACCCGTGCTGGTGGACTTACAAATCTTAACTCATCGAAGCATTATCGTTAATGCCATGATAAACACCTCTGATGAAACACGACGGTTGATAATCTAGCCTTAAATCCACCTGGCAGGCTTTATTATTCGTACGATTTGGCTTAAATGAAGCGGCCTATACTGGCCTGTCTAAGCCGCAGCGCTTAGTCCTGAAAGTGTCTTAACCCAACTATAAATGTATACTAATTTTGTAGAAATGGAAGGTCTTTCCTGGCCTCACCGCTCAGCCCAGAAATAAAACAATAAATATTTTCTGTTCAAAATAGTTGAAATTTAAGTCGTGTATAAAATTGTTAGGAAGGGGATGGGGGTCTGTAAAAAGGACAGACCCGCCGATTTAATCATACAATACACGTGTTCGTCCCTTCAGTATAAAAGTCAAATTTCTGCTGCTTTCATGTTAAAGAATCTAAAATCTTCACTCCCAAGTAATGGATCAAAGTTTGTTTCGTTAGCATTGTTCGCCAGAAGTATATTGAAATTACTGTAGAGTTCTATTTCCTCATTATTGATGTTTTTTTGAATAGGTTCTGAGGTCCCAGCTGGCCCTCCTCGAGGGAGTTGAGCCAGAGATGCTCAACCTCTTCTGCTGCGGTTCCCCCCTGGAGGTGAGATTTTTGTGATGTCCGTGTTCACAAGATAATAATACAGAGTGTCCCACGAAACATGACAGTTGGTGAATAGTTTAGAATGAATTTTTCCATAATTTGTTAAGTTGTTTGGTACCAAAGATCAATAAAAATATTATATGGGAGTCATGTTATATTAAAATTGATTTCAAAGTAAAAGATAATGAAGCAAAACGATGTTTTAACTAAAAATAACGATTTTTTAAATGTCATGTTTCGTGGGACACCCTGTATGTCCCTGCTTTACTTGGTCACATAAGTAAGTTATGTCCCTATTTAATGTTAATTTATTCGATACATGAAGTGTGTGCAAGTAAGAGAACCATGCTGTTATCTGTACTACGTTTTTATCCTATAATGAGAAGTCTGGAGTGCTTCAAAGAACCTTAATTCCTTCTATTCCTAGAATGAGATGAGTTGGAGTGCCCTAGAGAACCCATTTGATAATTATATAATGTATGTGTTTCTTAGAATGAGATGAGCCTCAGCGCTCTTGAGAACCAGGCTGTTGACCTCACCATCCCCCTGAGAGGAGGAAAGGTTCACGGATCCTTGGCTCGTGCTGGTAAAGTTAGGGGACAGACTCCCAAGGTAGTCATCCGTTAAATTATTTTAAATAGAATGCTACATAATGAAAATTGTCGATACAGGTCTTGATAATGACTAGCAATTGCACACTATTGTCAACCTATAGTCCTGTCCTAATCTAAAATATTTCCAAAAATCAATAATAATCAAATTAATTTCAAATTGTTAAAATCATGTTCGTGTTTATTCTTTTAAACAACATTTAAACTTTTTTTTGTGAATCCATTCTTGATCATTCCGGAAGATAATACTTAATTTTTCTAAATATTGCAAAAAAGATGGCTAACAAATATTGAATTTTGTTTATATAATTATATTCTTGTTCAGGTTGAGGCCGGAGAGAAGAAGAAGAAGAAGACTGGCCGTGCCAAGAGGAGGATCCAGTACAATAGAAGGTAGGACACTTTCAAGTTGAATTTACTTTATATTGTGTAAGGGTCGGTTTAATGCGATCAATTGCAGATTTTTTTTGCAAGTCATTTTTATTTGGTGTATTCTTGAATAATAATAGTAAAATATTCAAGAATAGGTTTAGATGACTTATTTGAGATAATTAAAGTAGATTCCTTAATTGTTCTGTTCCGTTGGGGGGGAAATCGTTATAATTAATATTTAATTTGATTTTTTTTCATATGATATGAATCGAAAGGGGGCAGAACTCTCCTTTATAACCAAAGTTTTTTTATTAAACTCGACGAATTGAACCTTACTCTGATAATGTCTATGTGAAACTTGTTTCTTGTAATTCACTTAAATAATAGGAAATTAAACGGTTATAGCCAAGGATTTAATACAAGGAAAGTTATTTCAGAGGTGTACGCATCTTTTGTACTGCAGTGAACTGTCCCTGGGCGGTAATGTAAACACAAGACGGATGTCGAAGCCTGACATGGGATCCGTCTTTCACTTAAATAATCAATAAAATATTCTGGTCTTAAGAAGCTATAAAGTGAATTATCAAAATTACCAAAATTCAGTGCTTTTAACCTCCTCGGACACTAAACGAACACTGAGGCATCTATTCTTTTTTTTAAATTCCGCCCAGAGAGAACTGGTTTCAATATGTACGCAGAGTATACGCAACTGCAATTAACTTTCCTTGCTTCACATTCTTGGTTATATCCAATTTCTTTCAGCCTTGAAAACATTTTTTTTATAAAAAAAGTTAATTATGATAAAACTGTTTTGTTAGTTGCGACTAAATTCTTTTTATTATTTCAGGTTCGTGAACGTTGTCGAGACCTTTGGACGTAAGAAGGGACCTAACTCCAACTCCTAAACTTGTATTGTGTCGACCCATCTTTAAATCATTTATCTCGACCTCATGAGGTCAAGATAAGTGTCTGCCAACCTTGACCCCATCTCTTGGTTTCAGAAATGAAAAATGGCGGCGCCGGATCAGAGTTTGCCTGGAAACACATGGAGACTCAGGGATGGAAAAAAGGTCAGAATTTCAATGATTTCAGATTTTTGCGGTGCCAAGCATTTGCGTTTGTTTGCGTCGTTTTTTTTTTTAAATAGAAAAGAGCGGAAAGTGTAATTTTTCGTGAAAATTCTTATTGTTTCTTTTAAGCAAGAAATGAGCAAGTCACTTTGGCTGAGAAACCACTAAAAAAGCATCTAAATTAACCAAGATTTGGATAACTTGTACTTGATCAGACAAAGCTCTTAAGGGTATTGGTGTAAATCGAGCATTTAGTTTCACTTGATATTGCGCGCTCAAAGTCGGAATTTTCACTTTATAACAACGCTAAACTTAAACAAATTTATCATAAAGCCCGGTTCTGAAATAACATTTGACAGGATAGCTCTCTGAAACATGTGAACGTTAAAATAGACTTCTTGGTTTTAAATTTAGGGCATTGCGTGTACTTTTAAACTGGCGACACAATCCCAAGTGGAAAACTGTTGTATAAAAGTACGATCCGATTTTTTGTGATGAAACTTGTGAGAAATCGCTCACTATTAATAAAAGCACCGTAAATAAAAATGACTTATTTTTTAGGAGATGGACTTGGTAGAAAGGGTCAGGGTATAACGGATGCACTCAAACCAAAACTTAAATTCGACCAATCAGGGATAGGACATTCAAGGTAACCCTTTCATAATCTTCTTTTATTTTCGACGAGTTGTTTTTATAAAAAAAAATAATTTCTTAGAACAGAAAAACTCTTGCATCAGTTTTTACTTCAGAAAAATGATATATAGGAATTGCCTTGATTCAAGTGACCTTTCCTTCATAGAGTTAACTGGTTAATAATAAAAAAATTCTTAGTTCTCATCCAATAATGAAGAAAGTTTTTTCCTTTCTTAAGTAACCCGTATGCGAAGATCAGTGCCACTTAAATTAAGTTTAACATTGTTATTTTCATAAATATATATTTTAGAGCCGAGGAGTTTGAATTTCATTGGTGGGATCACGTGTTTAACACTGCTGCTAAAGGAATCACGGTGGATGAATCCAAGGTATGTTAAGTATAATATTTACTTACTTTACTTGGTGGTTTTTTTTCTGATGCCCTGTGAGAAAAATTAACAGTTTTATCAGAGGGAAAGTTTTTTTTCATTGTTTTCTTTAAAATTCATTGGGTTTCTCAAATGCATTAATTACAATTAGTAATTAGCGCTCCGCGCCAAGCATACATAGGAACAAACATTGGGGGNATATGCACCCCTACATCTTAAACCACTGAAAGCGTCACCCAAACTTTTGACCTTACATAAATCAAGTACTTAGTATTACTTGCGTGCTCATGCTTAAATTTCGATCTCCGCAGTGTTTCTTTTATTTCTTTTTATATTTGTAACGTAACCTTGTATTTTAGGGTGAAGTGAAAGTTGAATTTCTGAGCGATAAATCTGAAGTTTCTACCAAAAAACTCCGACGGAAAATGCAGAAAGAAATCAGGTATTTTGTGATTTTTATTGGTACATCTCTTGTCTTTTTTTTATCAATTGTTGCAATTTTTTTATGTACTTTTAACTCCACCTACGGTTTATTTATTTCTTTTATTCTTATCCAACCAGTGTTTGTAACCGTTGGTTCCTCTCTTAATATTAAGCCACCCGTTTCTTGACTTATTTCTTGATTATCTTGTGGATTGCCCTTAATAATTAAGTTTAACATGGATATCGGGTTCAGGCCACGCGAAAGCCAAGCTAAAATTTTAATCTTAGTTATATCTTAAATATTTTTTAGAAATAAACTGTATTCCCACTTTGTGAAATCTGGAACTCTAGAAGGAGGAAAACTGGTGGAAGATGATACTGCAGATACGATTGAGGTAAGAGCACTTCTTTTTTATGGTTCACATATTTTTCACTTTAAGTAGACTGTTTCCGGTTTTAGAATTAGACTAACTAAAGTTCGCGAGTGCTTATTCTTTTTACTAACTGAATTATAATTTTTTTAAGCGACTATATTTAAAGGGAGTGACTGGCTATGTCAGGTAGTTGAACTGAGTATGCAGTGTTGTGTAAAACTTCTTTCGGATTCATTTGAGACATATTAAACTTTTTAAGATTTGTAAATCCTGAGTTTGAGCGCAAATTCGACGTTTAAAACTCCTACTTTGGGGGTGGATACGTTTTCAGAATTAGTTTTTTTATTATGAGATAACGACAACGAAAAATAAAGTAAAAATTATACAGTAATTAGAGGGTTAGGAACATATTTCTCAAAAGGAATTTGTCAATAAATCAATGCTAAAATCGATTATTTCGTTTTTATTATTATATTGAATTTCTAATTTTCTTTGAATTTATTCGCAGATTTCTTCAAATTCTTCAAATGTCGTCTTTTCAAATTCAATAATAATTATAGAAAATCTGCGAAAAATCTGTGAATAATTAGAAGCCAGAATAATGATATAATAGAAACTAATAATTGAACAAGATTACTTATTTTCGATGATAAGATTAATTTTTATTTTCTCAACATGTTCCTATACATGATGTTTGTAGTTTACTGTAAAACTTTTTTTTCTTTTTATGTCGTCGTTGTTTAATAATTTAAAAAAAACTAATTCTGAAAACGTATCCAACCCCAAAGTAGGAGTTTTGAACATCGAATTTGCACTCAAACTCAGGATTTACAGATCTTTAGAAAGTTTCATACGTCTCAAATGAATCCGAAAGAAGCTTTCCCCAACGCTGTATACTCAGTTTACCTCACGTAGCCGGTCACTCCCTTTAAGGGATTGACAACTTAATTCAAAAGACGTTGCTACTTGATGTGCTGGGGTTGGTATTGATCTTTGAAAGCGACTTCTTATCTTTGATAGGATAATTTTACGTTCGGTGTATCATCAAAATAATCTTTAAAAAAAAATTATTTTCATTTAATTATAGGAAGTGAAGGACTTGTCAAAAATACGAACACTGACTGATGAGGAATTATTAAAAGCTTGTGGTGGTCGAACTGCGCACAAGTAAGTTTGAAGTTATGCACTGGGCGGATTATTATTTTAACTATTTATCAATTAAATTCATGAAGCATTAAATGAGTCTAATGCAAGCAGACAAGATCACACCGTTATTATTTGAATTTTTGAGGTCTGCACACTGCTGAAAATGTACGATCAGGTCAAAACACCTGAACATTTTCTTTGGATTATGTTTATTTGCAGGCTACTAAAATATAATCTTTATTTTTGAAAATGCCACCTTGGGAATTTTGAGCAAATCATTTTAAGAAATTGTAGAAATCAAGTGCATTCACAGGTCTTAAATTAAACAAAACTTTCGTTTCAAGACTTAATCGGCTAATTCTTGGTTTTTTGGCGATTTTTTACAGTATATGACATGGTCTCCAAATTTTATCATTTTTCTTTAACAGTCATGAAACTTATTGTAGCAAAAAATCAAACCCCTAACTCAACTTACTGTCAAAATGCGGTCCAAAAAAGTTTTTTGATGTAATTTTTTACTGATTTTACTTCATAAAGTTTTTTCAGACAGAAATTGGGCAATTATAAAGTTCACTTAAGAGTTAGACTTTGATTTTTTTGCTAAAACATGTCTTATGATCAGTGTTTCGGATCCGGATCCGGATCCGTATCAGGAAACGTTGATATGGATCCGGGTAGCGCCAAAAATTAACCAAAACCATGGAATAAATAAATCAAAATGGTTCGTAAATGTATTATTTACATGACGAAAATTTTTCAAAATTATCTTTAATAATTTAATGTTTACATTTATGTAATAGTAATGACGACATTTTTAACTTTAGGATTACTATAGTTTATAAATTATAACCTTGCATAACATTTAATAGGGAAAATCCGATTCACAGAATCAAAAGTTGCCTCGGATCCGGATCCATCATCACGGATGCGGATCCGCGGATCCGGATCCGAATCAAAATGATATGGATCCGAAACACTGCTTATGATTGTAAAGGACAAAATTTGGGAACCCTGCCATCATCGATTCTAAAAATATCACTAAAAACCCAAAATCTTGATAAATCTTAGAACCTACCGTTACGATTGAATTTCGACTCGATTTTTACAATTTCTTTAAAATGGATTTAATAAAATTACCTAGGTTTAGATTATATCTCGAAGCCTGCATAATAATATATTCCAAAGAAAAAAAATGAGGTGTTTTGACTTGAAACCTGATGGTTCATTTTCAGCAGTGTGTCTGGGGGACAATGCTTGAGATATCGCATGGCTTCCCACAATTCTTCTTAAAACAAGCTAATTTTTACCCTCGAATAAGCGATTAAGCCACTTTTGGAACATACTTGCCACCTGGCGGGAAATAATTTACCCCTGCTAAAATATTCAGTCGATTTTATTCTATTATTACTTTAGGGGAGCTCGTCATGGGCAGACGATGTCCGCCAAACTAGCGAGAGTGGAAGAGGCGGAGAAAAAATATATGGAGGAATATCTGGCCAAACAAGCGGCCGAGGAGCTCAAGAAACAAGAGAGATTAAATCCAACCCAATCCAAGAAACGTAAATCTGATCCAGAATCTGAAACTGTTCCTTTATCCTCGTTAACCCAGTGTGAATCTGAAATTAAGAAGAAAAGGAAAAAGAAGAAAAATAAAGAGGAAGAAGAATCTTTAGAAGCTTTACCAGAGAAACGTAAAAAGAAGAAAAAGGTCACAGATTTAGATTCCTTAAAGCCCCTGATTGATTACCCCGAGCCTCCCATTAAGAAATCCAAGAAAAATACCGAGACAGAATTCGAGCAAAGCGAACCAGCTAAGGAAGAGAAAATTAAGAAAAAGAAGTCAAAAAAGAAGAAACATTCTGAAGATTGAAAGAAGGAAATTATCGGTGCCATGATATTTTCTCTACAGGGCGAACAAAACTAAAGTGGAGTAAAAAGACCCGCCCTGTAGATTTTAAAGTTTTATATGCCAAAATTTAATTATTGTGCACATTTGCAGAGAGAATGGGTCGTTACGCAATTGAACCTGATAATGCCACGAAGAGCGCAAAGGCCAGGGGAACCAACCTTAGGTAACGTAGAACATGTTTAGTGCGGTTGTAACATTAACTCTGGACTGAATGTCGTCTTCATAATAGATGAAATGTATGTAAGGATCAAGTTTGATACGGATTTCTCTGAAGAGTTGCTCCGTACTTATTGAGATCTTTTCTTACAATAAAAAGCAGCTATCATCATTCGAAAGTTATTTAGATAACTGGAATTTTCAAAGATTTTAAAGCGCTGAAAATGCAAGTTTATGACTGATTTAGAACTTTGCCCTTAAAACATATTGTCAAAGATAAAATGGTTGTGAATCGGGTATGCCACTTTATAAATGGGGTCATTCGATTAATGTTCCATAAAGGAGAATTTATATTCACTTACAACTTGTCAATTTTTTTTCTCTAACTGCGGTTATAATTCCTTCATAGATTTGCCGCTACAAAACGTTCATTGGTCATATCTGCCTGAATTTAACAAATTGTCTTTGTTTTTTAAATATGTTTACTTTATAGTGTTCTTGGCATTTAAATAATTGTTGATGTTCAGGGTTCACTTCAAGAATACCCGCGAGACAGCTCAGGCTATCAAGAAGATGCCCCTCAACAGGGCCAAGATGTACTTAAAGAACGTCATTGCCAAGAAGGAGATCGTCCCCTTTAGAAGGTAAGATTTTAATCGCAATTATTTCCCTAGATCGATTCATATTTTTGTTTGATATTTCCAGGCACTAAAGCTTAATCGGAGGTGTCCTGATATGATTTTGAGACTGAAATTTGGATCGTTGGATTTTGTAAAACTGTTTTAATTTTCCATATTACTAATGAAGTGTCATTCAAAATAAAGAAGCTTTATTTACACTAAACTAACATGATGTTTTTCTCGTTCGTATGAAAGAATTGAAGAAATTCATTTCTTCAAGATTACAAAGTTATCGCTGATAATTAATGCTGTCTACTATGCGATGCTTTCATTGATTGATTTTACTGATGACCGTTGTATTTAGGTTTATGGGCGGAGTAGGTCGCCACGCCCAGGCTGCTGTCCATGGAACTTGCCAGGGACGTTGGCCCCTCAAGTCTGCCGAGTTCCTCCTCCATATGTTGAAGAACGCAGAGAGCAATGCTGAATACAAGGGACTAGATGCTGATCATCTGGTCATTGATCATATTCAGGTAAAAATAAGGACGCTCGGTGCCGTTCGATTGTAAGTAGTTCAAATGTAAGTAGTTCGATTGTAAGTAGTTCAAATGTAGATTGGATTCTCCAGTAGTTTTCTTTATCCAAGAACAAAATACTTTATAAAGCTTTTATCAGAATTTAAGTTATATAATTTCTGATTTCTGATGTGGGTGTTAAAACGCGTGATTTCCTACGGCTCCCTTGGAAGCGTTATCTGATAATTAATAAATATTTATCAAACCGTTGCAAATTTCTAGAGAATGTGTTAAAAATCTGTTTTATTCAGGTGAACCGTGCTCCTAAGATGAGGCGTAGAACCTACAGAGCTCATGGTAGGATCAACCCCTACATGTCCTCTCCCTGCCACATCGAGCTCTCCCTCGTAGAGAAGGAGCAGGTGATAATTTTTGCGATGTTATATTTTTAATGTATATTATTTTCGTAGGAACTATTCGAAAATTTACCAGTTGCTGATGTAACTTTCGTTTTTGTTAACAGAAACCCCCCTCGCTCGTTTTTTAAGTCGATAAATCTGTTTTTTTTATCCCCCTCCACGCTGATTTATATCGCAATAATTTTGCTGGTTTTGTTTTAAAAATGTGATTTTGCGCTTGTTGCACAAGTTTTTCTTTTTTATTTGAATACAGCAACATATAAACATGCAAAACTGAATTTTTTAATTCTAGAAAAGTTTCGGCAATCCATTAAGTTTTATTTGTGTTTAGACCTATGCTCGTGCTGACAACGAACCAGAGAAGAAGAAGGTGAACATTATTTTTATAATATTTTGAATTTTAATCTGTGCGTATTGATAGTTACTTTACTCTCTACATTCACCAGCACTTCCTATTTGATGGCTTACAAAAATAAACCTCCATATGAAAAGAAGAAAAATGCAGGGGTACATTTTCAAGAATTCCTATGCAGGAGTATTAAATGTTCTTTGGGAAAAAATGAAAGTTAAATATCGTCGATTTAATCTTACTTTTAACCATAAATTCATTTTTTTTTCAATTCTGCGAATAAAACCTTAAAAAAAATTGCGCTCAGACCAAACATACCTCTCTCAAAATTTGAGGGGGGGATATCATGAAAATAATTATCTCTGCTCTCGAATTCGTGATCCCTATGTTTATAAATGTATATATTTAGGTTAGTAAGAAGAAGATGCAGAAGCAGAAGATGGCCGCGAGCAGGAGCGAGGGAGGCATGTAAATCAATGTGTTCAACTCTCTTCCTTCAATAAAGCGTTACAACCTCAACTACTCTTTATTTTTTCTTCTTAAAAGAGAGAGATATAGTGTTATTTTTATTTAATATATAATCGAAGGGATAATTTTATTTTGAATTTGAGACAGAAAAAAGTCGTAATGCAAATTTATATGTATTGGGCGCTAAATATTTATTTTACTAGAAACAAGTGTGTCCGTTAAAGTCGTAGACTGTATGATAATACGTTTTTAAGCGACGTGATCGCGAAGACGTTGTTTTTCATTCATTTTAAGGCTCGCAGATGCAAGTCTGAATCTTTGAGCTATGATTGTAAACCTTCAATACTTCTATTTTTTAGTTTATATTTAGTTCATATATATATACAGGTCCAAAGAATGTACGAGAATATGCCATTCTGAAGCGAAGTAATCTTGAAGACCACTCCTTATTAATTTATTTTAAGTCTCGCGGATGCATGTCTGGATCTATGTGCATTGTAAACCTTAGATGTTTCTATTTTTGACGACTTGAATTTTACTTAGTCATCGCATTGCTAACGCTTCGCTTGCAGAAATTATGGTTAAAAGAATACAGCAACCAATCATTGAATATAGCCTTGAAACTAAAGTTGTGTTCGACTTTAAACCTAAAACTGAAATCGATTTTTACGACTGCTTAATAAAGGATGTGTGGTGTGGTGAGCAGGGGGAAGGTTGGCGGCTTTAAGCCACATCATTATTTTCTTCTTTGCCACATAGGCTTTCGTCTCCCGACAGCCATAAGCCGAGTCAGGGAGCCCCAGGACGCCATGTGCCTCCGCTTTAAAGAATAGTTTTACGTGAAGTAATGAAGTTCTAGTATGTTTTTTAGAAAAAAGGGCATAGAATAGTTATCAAAGACTAATTATGATTAGAAAAAGGTGGTTTATGAAACTTGAAACATTCTTTAAGAGAACAAATTCTGAGAGCAAATTTATTCGATAATTTATAATCTTTAATTAAAGCGGTATCTTTTTTGAAATTTTTCAGATGATCAAAAATTTGGCATTGGGAAAAAATATGAATTTTAAAAAAGTTCCCAAAAAGGGTAAAGCTTAAATAAAAGATTCACGAGTTAAAGAAAGCTTTGCCAAATATAGGAGGCTCGTTTACTTCAAAGCGAGGGCTCCTACTGCATGGCGGAGGCTCGGTCTGTCTAGCAACGTTAGAGGCTTGTGTCTGCATGGTGTCTGGGAGTTCCCCCCTCATTAGCCACAACCCGGGTCTTCCATGCCAGAACATTCTAGTCTTCCGATAATTATTACGTTTCCAATTCTTCCAATGAGACTCAAAAATCCAGCCACGTCATGCAAAATTTATAAAAATCTTTATATTTAAGTTTTAGATTGAAATAAAGATGTTCTTTAGATGTGAACTGCTAAACCGAAAAATTGCACTATTTAACGAGAAAATTGAAAAACAGATTTTTTGTGAAAATGTAACGATCAGGTAATGATAAAGTTAACATTGGGATTTTTCTCATCTTTTCTTTTTATAGACTACCCCAAACAACTTGTCTTGGTGCCCTCAATGCGTACAATAATGTAAAATCTTCTTTGTAAATTGTAAAACAGTTAAATCAACTGATAAGTAAACAGTAAACACATTGATCATTGATAAACTTCTAAAATTTCTTAAGTGTATCATCTATTGTCCAATGCGTCTGGATTTTAGAAAATCCCAATTTCAATCCACTAAATTTATCATTTAAAGACGTATAATAATTGCCGGAAGACTCAAATGTGTGACATGGAAAACCAAAAGGTTGGGGCTTATAGCTTGCCAGAAGATAAAAAGCTAATATGTGGCATAGAAGGGGAAAATGTTGTGGCTCATGGCCGCCTGCTTTCCCCCGCTCGTGTGGTGAGTGTTTTAAAACTTCCCACGTTTCAAACTGTTTTCTGTCTACGTTTTCTTTTTTTTTAAACTTTGCAATAATATTTGTATCCAAAAAAATATAAAGACTAAGAACTATAGTTCGTTGTTGCATTTATTTTTCTCGAGGTAAAAGTTTTAAGAAAAGCAGATGTTGAGAAAACAATTTTTAAATTTGTAAAATTTCTCAGATTTTTATGGAGGTACGGAGTTAACGAAAAATGGAAAATGGAAGGAGGAAATGTAGAATTGGGAAAGATAAACTAGAAAGAAGACTGAAAAGGGAAGGGTAAGCTGAAAAATGAAAGGAAAGGAGAAATTGAAAAAGTTAAGGGGAAAATGAAAAAGGTAAGGAGTTTATAAGAAAGGAAAGGAGAAAACGAAAGGAAAGCATAAATTAGAAGGGTTAACTTGGAAGGAGACTGAAGAAGGGAAGGGTAAACTGAAAAAAGAAAGAAAGGAGAAAATGAAGATTGAATGAAGGGTATACTCTGAAAAGGGAAAGGAGAAAATCAAAAAAAGGAGGGAGAAAACGAAGAAAGGAAATGGGCTTGCGGAACTGAAAAGTTAAGGAGTTAATGAAAATGGGAAGTTGAAAACGATCCAAGGAAGATGTCATTGAATCAAAAGAAAGGAGAAAACGAAAAAAAATTGACACATTAGAAGGGAAAGGAGAAAATGAAAAAAATAATGAGAAATTAGGAAAGGGATGAGAAATGAATGAAAGAAAAGCACACTGAAATAGGAAAAACAAATTGAAGAAGGAAAATAATTGTTGTTTTTATTTGTTTCATTTGTTTTTAAAAAAAAAATTTTCACCCATTAAATAAAAGTATCAACAAAAAAAATTTAAATAGTTGCGGAGTATGTTGCAATGTTTGGGTAAAGGTTTAAAGTTCAAATTATTTATGAGGCAGCATAGAAAGCTTGAATGTAAGTCAAGCAGCTAGGCATGACTACTTATCGCATTATATCTTAGTTACTAAATAAACACAATAAAGGGTTTGATATTTATAAATTTACTTCAATTATCTTTTTAAAATTTAAACTAAGACTTGTTTAACTTTTATTGTGTTTTCCAATTTGTAACATTTAATATAAGTATATATATATATGTATGGTGATAATATTGCGCCATATTTTGATATATTTCTTCCTATATATTCAACCCTTTACATTAACTTACCTCAGTTCCCGCCACACCAACTAAAGGGAACCTACCTAGCACCACTCAAACAGAAATATCATAAAGAACATAGGTGAGAAAACAATGCACAAAAGAACTTTTTCTCTCTGTTTTTATACCACCCTAATGATAATTAAAAAAATATTCTTGAATTTTTCTAATTCCGTGACTTTTTTAGTTTTATGTGATCAATATTCATCCATTTTCAGTTTTCCATTAACATTTCCTTTCCCGGAAAACAACTGACGAGCAGGAAAACGGCAAAAAATTGTTTCTTTTCCACTGATGAATATTTGAATAATATCGTTCTTTATGATAATCTGAATTATTGCAGATTTACTGCACTATGTAAAACTTAAAACAGCGATCTTACTGAAAACATTTCGACATCACAAGCGTTTTATTTAAAGTTATGTTAGGGATATAAAAGTATCTTTTCAAAATTTCGTAATTTCGAGAAGAGTGCTTTCAGTAGTTCGATGTCACATATAGTAAAGACCAGAAAACAATGGAATAAAAAGACGACGTTTTAGCAATTCAATAGTGTTTTGATTTTGTTACAAAGCAAAATTTTTTACTATGACACTTATCAAATCCCTAATTTAGTGAAATGGGTCTGTTTACACTGCACTATTTTTGTGTCTTTTGCTTATTGGACTTTTTAAACTTGATTTTAAAAGTCGTCTTCCCATTTCAGAGTTTTCTAGTTCTCACTGTAAGTTTTCAATCGTTTTGGTTCGTTTTTAATAAACTTTTAGTAAAACTTTCAATTCAATTTTTTTGGCATACAGTGCCTGCCTATATTGAACATTAAGTATTTAGGATGTCGTATTCTCGTGTATACACCCCCAAGGGAGCAGGAGGAGGATCAAAGAAGATTAAGAATGGATTGAGGCTTGAGCAGTCTTGTATACAATTCAAAGGAAACACAGAGGCCAAACAAACTTTTGCTCAGGTAAATTTTTTCCTAATTAGTTTTTAGCTTATAAAAAATATGGATAAAAATAACCAATTTCAACTTAAAGTAAGGGTAAGCAGTTTTTTAAAAGCTTTACAGGGATTGTAAGCGTAATTTCAATTAAAAGTTTATGTGCTAAAATGGTAATGCCCGATATTCAACGTTTCCCTAAAACGCTTTGTCTGATCAAGTATGAATTAGATATCAATGTTTATGATATTGAAACGGAACCTTTTCAAATGCGGTTCTTTACTAAAATGAATTTTGTGCAAATCTACTGCAGGAAAACAAACAGGAATTATCAGAAATAATTACTTTTAAACCTAGAAACTTCCACAATATTAAACAGATAAAGGTTTCAAGGGCACCGTTATGAATCGGGCATTGCCATCTTTGCTTGAAGGGTCACATTACTCTTACAGTCCCTTTCAGATGTTGTTGTTAAGCTTAGATTCAAGATTTCTTTATTCAAAATTGAGTTTTTACAAAGTATATTAGTTTACTAAACTTGTTAAAGGATTATCTGCCTGAGCATGCTGAAATAGGAGCTTGGTCAGATCAGACACAGTATTCGATCAACAAGAATAAGCGCTGGGAGCTTCAGGATAAGATTGACAAGATATTTAATGAAGATATTAACAACCTAAAGAATGAGAAATTCAACCTTTTTGCTCTGGTAGACCATAACCCTCACTTTGACTCCACCAAGATGTATTACTCAAACAAAGACGAGATTCCAATTGTAAAAGGGAAATCGAATAAGTCTCGAGCTCCAGATCACCAGTTTAATTCAGAACTAGATGTTAAACTAGTCATTGAAGAAAAGAAAATCTGGAATGTTTCTAGAACACCTAAAAAACAGAAGAAAGCCCAGATCAGCATTGAGGTGGAAGAGGGTCTGGATGACGACTATGATGATGAGGACCATGACACCCTCCAGGAGGATGAAATCAAGTGTAACAGACAAGAATGTCATACTTTGGAAGATTTCATTGCTAAAACATGTGAGAGAAAGAATAGTCCAGAGTTGAGATGTGAACCGGTGAAGAAATCATACAGAGGAAAAATCGTCTTTGATCCTTTAGCAAACAAAAATCAAAACAACAGTGACTCAGAAGATGAAGAATTTGAAGAAATCAGCCGATATGATCCAGAAGGGGATACCATCATTGTATTTCTAACAGAACTAGGACTAGCAACAATCCCTGATCATTGGATAAATGTATCAGAAGCCCGAAGCACAAGACTATCAATTTACAATCCAAACACTGGTATTCTAATCATAACATTTACTGTGTCTGAAGACAGTACTGAGTGTAGAATGAAAATCTTAAGTTTGCAAACAGAACTTGAAAACATTTTAGATGTGTTTGCAGAGTGTACAACCATTAAGGAGATTTGTTTTTTAGCGGATCAAATCTTTGCTGGATCATCAAAGAAGAATAATGTTGATTTTGGAAAGTATTCGGTTGTATCAACAGACCAAGCATTTCTTGAACTATTCAACAAAGAATCAAGTTCTTCTGAAGTGAGTGAAGGTGATTGCTCCGCAAGTGATAAACATACAGCAGCCAGTTGTATGATTTGCTTCAGCGAAGAAGATCTCTGCTACAGCGGGTCTTGTGGAGATGGATATTGCAGCAGTTGCTGGTCTTTGTATCTTGGTGTCCAGGTCAAATCAAAGACAAGACTAATTCTATGCCCTGCATATGGATGCACCATTCCTGTCCCAATTTCTATTCTTGGATGGTTTCTCCCCACCACATGTCTTCTAGACTATATTAGTAGAGTTCTTTCCGTTCTGGTTGAAACCAATATTAGCATTTATGATTGCCCCAATTGTAAACACATTGTAAAACTAAAGGAATTCAAGCTCGTCAATGAAGTCAAATGTGTTTGTGGCGTAGAATGGTGTCTTTCTTGCAAAGGCCAATGTCATTTTCCCTCCAGCTGTCAAGAAAGCCACGATTTTATCAACTTCAAGAACAAACTGGATGAACATGCGTCACTTGAGACAGAGGTGGAGGTACGTAAATGTCCATCATGTCACACATTGTGGGAGAAAATGTGGGGCTGCAACTATTTGCACTGCACTGTTTGCAACACTGGGTTTTGTTGGGGCTGTGGTAAAAAGCATGATGACCATACTGGTATCTGTGGAAAGATAAATCAACCATTGGAAAAGATTGAAATCTTACCATTTCCAACCGAAAATTTTTCAAGACAAAGAATTGAAAACTTCCATCTGCATTTATCCCTTAAAAGGCAAAAGCTGAGCTCTAAAAAGTATAGAATAGAGACAATGGCACATAGGTTCTTGGCTGCGGACAGAACCTGGTATTTCGACAACATGGAGAAGCACCGACAAGAGATTTTGGAAAAAACGGATCGGGGCCTTTTGATCATGGACATCTTAACCAGAGCTGTTAACATTTGCACAGAGGGTCGTCAATTCTTGCTAAACTCAGCACTGCGCCGGGAAAACGCTACTGCCTCTGGAAGGATTAGGATAAGCCAGAAGTACATGAATCTTATTGAGATAGATGAGGCACTTACCAATCCCACTCTCGGGAAACGCTGGAAAGAGCAGATTAAACGCCTTGCAACTTTGATTCATGTTCTAGAAAGATCAATGAAATTATCAAAATAAAAATAATGTGATACTTAAAATTTTCAATATTAATATTGTTTGGAATACATAATTTGAATTCATTTATTAGTGATTTGTCCCGTTTACAACGGTGCCCTTTAAACTTTTCACTTTGATCAAAAACATGGACGCTCTCATGCAATAGCTATAAATATTTCTTTAAACTAAATTTTGAAACAAATTTTGGTTGTTCTTTAATGTAAGTAGAGAGCACAAATTGGATAATTCATTTTATGCTTTGAAATATGTAAAATTAATGTGTCTTACTCTTGCTGTTTTACATAATGGTGAAATTCTTTATATAAAATATTGTAGGAAAATTCAAATTAGGTTTCTTGGATTTCTGAACAACAGAGCTAGGAAAATAAGCAAGCTCTCTAGGACTTAAAGATAAAAATTTATCATTAGATTTTTCAAATAGTAAAAGGTAACATCAAAGTAAATTCCCAACTTCCCCCCCCCCCAATCTTTTTTAAAACATTTCACGTCAAATTTAAGTATACTAGCCTTATAGGGTGCTTCGCGCCCATCTTCTAAATTAATTGTGAACATTTTCTCTTTGTGTACATCGTAAAACAAAAAAATTCGCGGATTTTCACAAAAAAAATTCGTGGATTTTCAAATTTTTCAAAAATTTAATGAAGATCGAATTTTGATGGAGACAAATATTTGAAATTTTGATCATTCATAAACCTTCCCTCTGGTCACGTGATGGCCCACAAAAAATTTGGGCCCGATCGGTTCAGCCGTTTTGACGTTTATTGGATACAAACAAACAGACAGACAAGCCAAATTTATATATAGACTAGACTTTTAGGGCGCTTCGCGCCCATCAGCTCTTTCAACTTTTCATGGTGTTGTGTGAGCATCTTCTCTTTGTACAGTATAAAACAAAAACAAACAAAAAAAGTTTGCGGATTTCATAATATTTTTTCGCGCATTTTCAAAATTTTACTAAAATAAAAAACTTTTAAACACAAATTTTTAAAATTTTGATCATTCATAAACTTTCCCTGGGGTTACGTGAGGTCCCACAAAAAAATTTGGGCCCGACCGGTTCAGCCTAGTCTAGTGGAGCTCGATTAAAGAGCCTTAAAGAGCACAAAAAAGATAGATTACAATTTGTGTTTACTAAGAAATAAAATAAGGTGTTCTTGTTACACAAAACCAAAAACAATGTAGAAATTCATATCTTGATAAAGAGAAACAACTTTCTGCATCATATGATTTTTTTTTAGTGTAAATCATTGCGCACATATATAAATTCAGATTTTTCTTCTTATTCTTAATCGTAACTAACTATTACACACATTTTATTTCTGCATGTTGTAACTTTTTCAGAAATCCTTAATTTTTATTTTGAATAATCTTTTTTGTTTGTTTATTTTCTTGTGATTTTTAACAAACATTTTTTTATATTTTTTTTTATCGATTTTGATGGTTATCATAACGTTAGAATTGACGAGGGTCAACCCAGACCGAAATATATATTCAATAAATGTGGAACATAACATCAACTTTTTTAACTCTACAGAGGTTTGGTCCATCACCATCACCGAATTTTAAACTTTTAAAAATTAAAATTTTATTCTATGCCAAAACAGTAAATGAATCATTTAAAACTTTTTATTCTAAATTTTATCGTACTAAGATTAAATTCTGGTCCTGAGACTGTCCGATTCACAATGGTAACCTGTGATTATCTGCTGAAGATGATGAACATTAATTATTTTTAATTGCGGTTTTATCCGATAAAGGGCTTTGTATTTTCGTGAATAGGTCATGTGAGATTCAAATTGACGGTCACTTGATTTAACGTTGACATATAAATATGCCGTAAATATAAACGCAAACCTTTCTCTGGTTGTTGAATAATGTGTTTAATTTAGTTGATCAAAAAAAGGTTCAATTTAGTGATTTAACGAGAATATATGTCTTGAAGTAAACACCGGAAAATATGTTAAAAGAAAACAAATTTTTTTTTAAATTCAAATATATATGGACAGGAAACTGGAACTGGAACAGACTACTTGAAAATATTTCAAAAAAATATTTTCTCTCTTCGACACTGATTACGTCAGCAAACCTTGATTCCAAATATTATTTTGTAATAAAAAATCAGGAACTTCTACCATTTTTCACGGTCTTTTTAAAATAGTTTGCATAAAATAATAAATATGAAAAATTTAATGTCCCTCTCAACCTTCTGCGCCCCTGCAGCCCTCCTTTTGAATTTCAGCTTCATCACCCCCCCCCCCTT